TGTTCACGCAATAAATATCATCAAATATGTCACTCATTTATGACAGTACCGTCGGCCAAAACTATAACAAAATAAATGAGATGGAATCTAGAGAGAAGTTCCGTAATCAAAGAGTTTGGCCGCCCGTACATTATACAAGTGCAGTACAAACTAAAACCGTTGACAAAATTAAATCCTAACGCATTGAATAGTGTAAAAAATTCGTATTATGGAGGACTACAAGCTTACAACTCTAAAGCTATGAGGGTGAAATCGCAAGTGGTCAAGACTACGAAATTTAATGAAAAGATAGAAATGAATAATGGTATGCAGATTACCAAAGGAGTAAAAGATATGGAGTTAGAAGAAAATATACACCTTCCAAACCCTGAAAAACTGATGCCATCGTTCTCTGAAAAATCGGTACAGATACACTTAACCCAAAAGGTAATCTACAAAACGCAAATAATCCTTTAGGCGTTGTTATTGTCAACAATTTACGAATTTCTTCTTTCAAAGGCAATTGTAAATATGCTGATGAAAAGTCAACTTTTGAAAAATATTTGGCTCCCTTTAAATTTGCCAAAATTTCTTCAATTCGAGGTAATGGATATTTCACTTCTACAACCCATTTGTTAAGTGTTACTCGAAAATCTGCACATAATCTAAGTTTTCCATTAGATTTTTTAACAGGTACTAATGGTGTAGCCCATTCACTATATTCCACAGGAATAATAATACCATCATTAACCCATTTATCTAATTCTTCGTTGATTTCCTTTTTCCACTCAAAAGGAACTCTACGACACGCTAAGAAAATCCCTCTTTTAATTTCAAATCCACTTGATAATCATTTAACCATCCCAAAGTGTCTTCAAAAATTATACCATATTTTTCCACTAAAATAGGTATAGCATTTTTAACTCTATTTAATTCATTAATTTCATTATTAATTTTTTTATCATTATCAATTTCATTATTGATCTTATATTGATTTGAATATATCATGGATTTTGCAGGATATTCACAAATATTCTTATTAACGATAGATTCTTTCGCTTCACTCGTTAATTTATTCATTTCCCTTTCTTTAAGCTTTTCCCTGACTTCATTAGCCATTATTTTTCTTTCGGCATTATCTCTAGCCAATTCTTTATCAATGATAAATAAATCCCAATAATTATTTCTAGGCCCAAGTTTGCTAATCCAATCCCAACCCATAATTGTTTCAACATTTTTTTCCACTATCCATAAATCCAAAATTATACGAATATCATGGAAAAGAACATCCCACTGAGTTCTACCCAAAATTTGATTTCAGATCCATCAAATTGTTTTATACACATATTTATTTTTTTTAATAATATCATTAGGCCAATATTTATAAAAATTTTCACAAGACATGATTGAAATACTTGCCCCGGTATGAAATAACATTTCAACCATTTGTCCACCAAATTTTAAATTAATATGAGGACATGAACTTTGTTCCTTTGATCCCTCAGTTATTAATTTTTAGGCAATTTAATCGGTTGAATGGTATTTATTTTAATCTCTTTTTCAATACAATTAATATTCATACCTAAATTCATCTCAGAATTTAAATGTCTCTGAATCTCATTTATATTTTTATTAAAAATCTCCCAATGATATTTCCCACTTGTTTGATTACAATAATCCTTTTTATTCAGATTATTGGTTAATTTAAATTTTTTTATTTCATCAAAATGACAATAAAAATTTCCTACATTACAACTCTTTTTATTCGAGTTAAATTTCAATGTATAATCATCATTCCCATGATGATTATCTATTTTATTATATATATCCACAAAATTTTTAATAAAACTATATATATCAAAATATTTATTATTCTCTAAATATGATTTTTCTATTTTTATATGATTCTCTTTCATATCATATAGTCACTGTGACCCACTCACACTTTGGATACAATGTATGCCAATGTGTCCCATTTCTTCACATTTGAAACACATTCTATCATGGTCTCTATTATAAGTTTTAATTTTATCCACATTTATAATCTGAGGATTTTGTATACTTCGAACCACTGGATTTATCACTACCGATGTTCGTTGCGGAAATCCACTTTTGAAATTGGCTTCTTTCACCATGCAATTTCTTTTTATATGTCCTACAAAATCACATCTATGACACACTATGTCATTTTTTTCACTTGGTTTTGCAGTCACATTCTCATTAGAATTTCGGTCTCTTGAATAACAATATTTACCGATATGTCCTTTTCTTCCACAAAGTTCACAACTTTCAATCACATTATTATTATTTTTAATTTTTAAGTTGGAAACATCTCTGGACAAATTTTTCATATTTTTTCTCATTTCTCTAATTTCACGTAAAATTAGAGATTCCTCTGTACTTTGTCTCAAAGTATTATTGTTATTATTTTTCAAAATTTCTACTGGTTTCTCGATTAAAACCTCAGAAATTTGCTTTTTAAATTCTATCACAATTGAATTTAATTTTTTATTTATATCCTCCGATATGTCAATATTTTGAGGAAAATTAAATACTTCACCCGTATCTAATATTTTCTCGGATTTTTCTTCCATTATAACATTTTTTTTACCATTTAAATTTTTTAATTCTAACAAAATTATATGTAAACTATTTTTGATATCTTCAGAAATATCTGGAGATTTCACCAAAATTTTAGGAATTAAATTTTCAGTATTTGTATTTTTTATATCATTTTCTCTATTTTTAAGAGATCTTCTTTTTATTTTCCTTATTACTTGTTTCATTATAATTAAGATTACATAAAACACAAAAAAAATTACTGCTGTAATGACATTATTGGTCACATCCACTTTATTAAAGTTTGAATTAAAAATTTTATTATAATTATCATTAAAATAAAAAGCCATTTTTTCATTAATTACCCAAAATTTAAAATTTTATCTCATATATTTCTAATTTTAATCCAAAAATCTTACTATTGCGTTGTGTAATTTATAATACAAAAAAAATTTCTTACCTTTATATATATCCGGAATTACTATTATTTTGAGAAACCCGGTCGTAGAAAATCTTTTTCTTGATAATAACGTATGAAATCTATTTTTATAAAACACTCTTTTGTTTTATTTTTTTTTCTTCTAAATATCTTAGTTTTTATATTTTTCTCTAACTTATTTTTTCCCTAATAAGTATGTTCAAAGATAAGATTCGATAGATGATGAGGAAATAATCAATGTCCTTAAAGAACGATAATTATATGGTATCTGGGCTTTTGAAGGGTGAGCGTGTTGCAAATGTTGAATTAAAGAGAAAAATAAAAATGTTTATTTATTTTCAAGAGATGTCTCAGATTATTATTCTTTTAATAATATGTTTTTATTGTAAAAGTATGAATTGGAATTTGAATTATTTGATATCGATTTTTATGATTATACTATTGGAATTTATTAGATGAAAAATATAGTGAAAAATTGAAATTTAATAAATTCAATAAAATGAGAAATATTTTAGTTATCAATACTTATTTTAGCCCATTTACGTCAAAAAAATTCAAAAAACTTTAAAAACTACGATTATGACAATTGTCACTTTTCTTCGGTACATCTTCACTAAATTTAATTCAAACATATTATCATTACTTATTTAAACATATTTTCGTAAAAAAATTCAAAAAACTTTAAAAATAAAGATTATGACAATTGTCACTTTTTTATGGTACATCTTCACTAAATTTTATTTAAACATGTTATCAATATATATTTTAATCTATTTTCATCAAAAAACTTTAAAAATAACGATTATGACAATTCTCACATTAAAAAATATTATCCTTAAAAAGATCATATAAAATAACATCAAAAAGTTTAATATAAATATTTTTAGAAAATTATTTTTAAAAAAACACCTCATTTAATAAAAAAATTGATAATTTTACAAAATTGATAAAAAGATTTCACCTAAAAGATTGTTTTTTTATCTTTTAAAATTTACAATATAATTCCTCAATAAAAGATGTATTTACAAAGAAGATTGTGAAAATCACTAATAAATTATATTAAAAAGAATATTACATTTTTACAATAGCATCATATTATTTTTTTATTAAAATTTTTTTATTAAAAAAACATCAAATAAATAAATTTATTTTCATTTCAAAATAAAACAATATAAAAAAAAAATATTAAAATCATATCATGTTTATTTGTTGATAATAGTAAAATATTTACATTAAATATAAATAAAATAAATTGTTTTACTAAAATAAATAAATAATAATTAATGCTAGGCATCGATGCAGATTTTTTGATTGACTAATTTATTATAGCCAATTTTTAGGCTTAGCCTAATTAGGTTTAACCGATTTTTAGGCTTAGCTTTATTAGACTTAGGCGTAGTTTTTAGCCGATTACGCAACACTACTTATGGGTCAACGTTGCATAAATGTTATGATTATAAATCCGAGAATAGAAAGAATAATGGGCCAAAATTAATTAGAAAATTAGAATAGGTTAAGGCATCTGTAGGAAATAAATTTATGTCAATTACATTTAAAAAATAAATATTCTTTCATCAAGAGAGCCTAAAACATTTGGCATTTTAATAGTCCAAAATTATCGAACTTTATAGGTCACTCGAAAATAAATATTTTATAAAAAATGTTTCTTTTATGTTATAGTATAATCTTCGAGCTATAAGAATCATATGTGAAATTATTTCAATTCAAAAAATTTATATGTGAAAAATCAATAAATAACAACTGTTGAAGATATGGCACGTTGACCATTAATGGGTTAAGTAAGAGAATTGCATAAACCGAATTTATAAAATTTTAACAAATTGTAAGGGGGAAGGGTTAACGTGTTAACAAATGTCATCCCATAATTGTGGTAGCAGCTCTTTTATATAAGTATTTCAAAGGTAGTTATTTTTATTTAATTTATTAGGGAACATATAAAAATGGTTTGATTTTGTTAATTTCTAGCATTTATCAGCAAAATAATTTTATTATATATATAAACCTTTAACATCGGCTTCTTGCGTAGGGGTGACATTTTTCTTGTTATCTTCATTCTGAAAAAAATATCATAATTTTAAATAGAGCCGCATAAGAAAAAATTAATAAAATGATCCATTAAAGCTATTACACCGTGTATATATACAAATTAAAAATAATTAAATAAAAAGAGTGTTAAGAAAAACATAACTATAATAAGAGAAATTAAGATATAGAAAGTGTAGGAAGATGGCATCCATGGGCCCCTTGGGGAAGAGAGCATAGTGAAAATGCCATATTGCACCTAATTATTAATATGTTTTTATAACAAGCCATTATCATATTAATCGTGATTTGAAATTGACTATTTGGTTTTAAATAAAAAAAAGTAACTCGAAATAATTTAGATTCTAAATTAAGTGTTTTGCCATTAGCTGCGATACACTTATATATATTTTTTTAATTAAATTTTGTAACAAGATATCATAAAATCAAAAATTATATATTTTCTTAATTAAATTTGAAAATCATTCATGTTTTTAAATCATATAAACATTTTCGGAAAAAAACATTATAAAAACGTAATAGTGCTCACAAATTAAACACAAATTTTATATTTCAATATCGTGCACGATAAAAACCAATTTGAAAAACGCAGGTTTGTCTTTTTTTTTATAATTTAAGACTAGTATTTTTTTTTGGTCTAAACTAACACTACATTTTTTTTCTGTAAAACTAAAAATTACCCCTCAATTTAAACATATTTTTTTTAAAAAGTAAGGCAACATGAAAACGATCAATTTGTGCTCATTATAGGAACGATTCAATTTTTTCACCTAAATTATACTGACTGTGAACCTTTTTATCTGCCTTTTCTGTGTCGATTTCGAATGAGGAGTCCTCGGAGAGGGAAGAAAAATCTTCGAAAAAGCGTATACCTTTGCCACTGTCAGTCTCTAAAATGACTGGGATTTTTAAATTAGTTGTATCATTGTTTTTTGGATTGTCATCTTTCGTAAATGATGATTTATCTGCGTTTTTGGTATTTAGGTCATTAGGGTTAGTGATGACCTTAACGGGAACCGGAGTAGGAAGGGTTTGGAAAGTCGATATGAAATTGGGAGCCTTGGGCATTGTCACTGTTGTAGAAGATTCGCTATACAAAAAAATAAAATCAAATACATGTGATTATAATAATATTTATTTTAATTAATGTTTAGGTAAATGTTAGAAAAAGCTCTAAGATTATTATTATAAATCGTTATAAAAAATTATTTTATTATTAAACGGAGGTAGGAATTATCAATTGGTGATGAAAATATTAACGATTAAATACAGATAAAAAAAAACCATAAAATTATATAAAGATAAAAACCCAAATTTTATTGAATTATTGTATCTGCAGAGAACCCATTTTTCGTCTTAGACAATAGGTGATAAAAAAAATATACAATTCAAATATTAAACTTTTTAAAAAAAACTTTAGCATACTTTGCGGTAATAATCGAATTCGTTATGATATCACCTTTATTCGTATTGCGCTAAAAAAAATATTCGTAAATAAGAAATTTTAAAGAAATTTTTAAATTTATGATTTTAGTCGTCAATGTTACTAAATCGTCCATTTTTAGCCGATTACAGGAAAGGGCCAACCCTAATTTCCTTAAATATATTAAATACACCTCAAAGTTTTAGACGAAGGAAGGCTCAATCGAGAAGAGGAGAAAAATCCATCGTGGCTCAATAGTTAGCAAATTTTTGCCCAAATAAAAAATATTTAAGTCGTGCATGCTCGTATTAAATTCAAGGCATGATAAGCACGATTTTGGCATACCCTCACAAAACTGCTGTTTAAAAAAAAAGTGCATCCATTTATAGATATAGTGTATATAAAGAGATTAATTAAATGTTACTTGTTCTTTTCTAAATTTATATATCAGTAAAAGAGAAAAAAATTTATTTAAAATTATTTAAAACTCAGTTTTATGAAGCCAAAGAAATGTTTTATTGATATTAATAAAGTGGTGTATCAAAGGGAGGGAGTGTATAGATATAATGAAACTTAATTTATTTATATACTATATATATAATATAATCTCGCACGGGCTTGTCAAGTGGTATTTAAAACCGAAATCAATAAGATCAAAAATTCGGTCCAGTAACAGTAAAGTCCAAAACCAGGGCCGATATTTTAAAATTTTATTTCCAAAAAATGATTACCTCCATAAGTTCATCTCTAAATCAAAAAGGCCCATCTTCAAATCAAAAAATATATATTATTTTTATAGCATTTTTTTAAGAAACTGGAAAAAAAACTTTTTTAGATAATAGGCTTAAATTGGTCTAGCATTATTAATTATAATTTTATTATAATTATATCATAAATCATATTATTTGTATAAAATTCTTCAATGTTAATAAAAAGAAAACAATTACAGTGTGGTCAACTTATTAAGGTTGTATGAACTGCACTCTCTTAACCTAATTAATATATGGTAAGTCTCTGCAAAACTGTCCAACTCGAGACAAAAAAAACCTATTTTAATATTAATGATAAATTCGAATTTAATATGATAATAAGCTTTCAAATAAAAAACTTTTAACATCAATAAACATTTTTAAAAAAATATAAGTGCTTGTGGAGTAGGATTAAAATGAATTATTCGTTATTATTATTTTATGGATATGAATATTTTCGAATCGAATATCAACAATGAAAAAAATATTCGCCGAATAAAAGGCTTCCATTATTCAGTTAAAATATTTATAAACTATCGTTTATATTCGGAATTTTTCGTTAATATTTTAATTTTCGGTTCATATTCAAGTAGTGATGTAAACAAGGAAAATTTAGGAAATTTCCTCAATTTATATAATGTCTTTTTTTTATTAAATAATCATGATAATTTTTCTTGTTTTACTAAAATATCTTATATTGACATAGGTTGAAAAAAACTCCCTTAATCGCACAATTTTAAATTGCTATTATATCTCAGAAAATATTAAAATATGAGACCTAAAATTCACAACTATTGTAAAATTAATAGAGGTTTAAAATGGAATCAAATGTATTCAATTACAAATACGAACATCAATTCAATATGAATGATAGAATTATTAGATTCTTTTTTTTATAGGCCTATTTGTAGAATATAAGCATCATTTTGCCCAATTTTTAAAATAAGGACTGATAATAGATGATCAAACGTCTTTCCGAAACTAAATGGATGCAAGTTCAGCCCTGGACGAAAACTCGACGAAGATAGCACTCTTGGGATGGGCCCTCCCCCAAAGGTTATAGTTATTAGGACGCGCCCGTTTTTTAAAAAAAAATTATTATTTTTTTAAAGTTAATTCTTTTTAAATTTATAATTATATTTTATATTTTTTTAAAAAAATTTAGTATGAATATATAAAAATAAAGTACAATTACGAATTTAAAAAAGTATATTTTATAATTTTATATTTTAAAAAAATTTTGGGACGGATATGACGCGTTCCGCCCCTAAGACGTATTTGAGACGAGTTCCACCCCTGTCTATGAGACATTTCCCACCCTAAATTAAAGATGACAGACGTTTGATCATCGAAAAATGGAAGTTTTATAATATCATGAAATAAAGCATTTCTATTTTAAATGATAAAAAAATATATTTAAACCCCTAAATGCAAAAAAACGTATTTAAAATTTTACTAGTTATACGATTTTGCAATGAGATCGACGATATAAATAAAATAAAATATTCGGGGGTGTATTTATTATAAAGTACCTCGTTTGGATCTAAATGCTCTCTTTGCAACTCTAGCAAAAGAATCTGCCTTTTTATTTCCAAAGCTTCCAAGGAACATGTGTTATCTTTTTTCATTTACAAGAAAAAATAGTAAAATATTTAAACAAAAGGTTGACTTTTTAAAATCTCTCTCCCGCAAAACTGATTGAAGTAAAGTTAGATAACTTTAATAGATCCTAGCGAAATTTTTAACAAAATCTGCATATTACTTTCTTCTTCTTCGATCGTTTTCTTGATGATGGCTACTTTGTTTGAACTTATCAATTTGTCTGAAGCAGCCATACAATTATCCTTTATTATTTATTTAAAACGATATCAATAGAGGACAATGTCAATATATATCAGAAGGTCCGGCCCTAAGCCCGTCACGGGTATACGGGCCAGGCCATATTTCAATTATTTTAAATGTACCCGGGTCAGGCCGTATATTTTAAAACTAAATATTTTAAATTGCCATTATTGGCTATAAAAATTATAAAGAAAGGAAACATAATATATTTTTAAAAAAATCTGGCCACGTTTGAAAATATAAAACTCGGGCTGGGTGGAAAAAAAATTATGAAAAAAAATTCGGGCTAGGCCGTGCAAATGATACTATATTTTGGATGGCGAAAGTCAACGATCCGGTCCTAGCGGTTCAAGATGCCGAACCGGTATTTATATTTCGGTCCAATCCTATATGTTATACATTACTTTTTTGAAATATATATGGCTTAAACAGTATGTTATAAAAAAATCAAACCATGACCGTAGTTTTTTGTTGAATACCAAACATTTGCACGTTAAGCGCTGCTTTTCTAATTATAGCCTCTTTTGCCAAATATATATTCGGCGTTTTAGACATGCACACGATATTTCCTTTAAGTGTTGGACTAATTATAGTAGGAGTCAAAATTTTGCCAATATCGTAATTTGATAAGAGATCGGCATTCGAGTTACATGTTCCGCTATAAAAAAAATTTTTTTTAAATAGATGATTTTGTGCATATCGATAGACGTTTATAAAGAAACGTAAATAGCTTCTTGTTAATTTGAGCGTGATTGAGAATAGCTCTCTCTTTTTAGGCAACTAACTAAACATGAATGCTTGATAATAGTGAAAAATCGAACTTTTTAAATCTATTTAATCTTATTCCTTTTTTTAAAAAATAGATATATTATGTTTTTTGAGAAATAAAAAATTGAGATTAAGGTCATGCATAACTACTACTCCCGTTTTTACAGAGAAACCTTTATAAAGAATGTAATTTATAGAAAAATATTCATAGAGAATGATTTTAGAGAAACTTATAGAGAAAACAATTAGAGAATATAATTTACAAATAATTATTTTACAAAGAAATGCCTAAATATTTGATTATCATTACTTATTATATTTGTAATTTTGATACTTTCATTATTTATTCATTTATCAAATTTTACCTATAAATCGGTCAACGTTATATTTAGAGAGGATAGTAAAAGTTAAATTACGGTTACCCGGAGAAAAATATGATAACCTTTACAATTTCCGTTACTTAAAAAATATGTGCTACATTATTAAAAATGCAAGAAAATAGTAATCGTGAAAATCGAAAAGACATAACCACAGTAGGGAGGAGAGGATTTTGCACCTGCAGTTATAATTTTCTGAGCCTATGTGCAAAAAAAATAAAATGCCTTTATTTCCTTTTGAATTGCCTTCACATTATAGATATTTGTTACATATTTTCAAACAAATTTATCGCCATGTATTTCCTGTTTATATTTATATGATTACCAAATAAAATTTGATTTCTTTAAATTTTTCCTAAAACTATACAATTAAATATGTATAGCTTTATTTCAATGCTAAAAATTTATAAATGAGCAACTTATCTTCAATTAAGTTGCATTATTTGTCTCCTTTATATTTAATACTTCAACTATTATTTACTTGAAAGAATTATTTATTGACATTTTTTAAATTTAGAAATACTTTTAATTTTTTTGAGAAAATCCTTGTCTTCTTCTAAATGAGCTCTCATTAGAATTTATTAGCATTAAAGCCATATGTAAAATTTTATTTTTCCGTTTAACCTTGAAAGATTTTAGAAAAAATATTATTATTTATTAAGTAATGAAAACAAATGTTATGTTAAGATATCCTTATAATTAAAACAGTTACGGAGCACTGTTATATATAAATGAAAAAATTAAAAAATATGTCGTTTGTAGAAAAAGTTTTCACAGAGAAGGGAATAATTGTGCCAATTCAAATTTATTTAAAATATTTACTCAGAATTTTGCCATAATCTAATTTAGGTTATTGAAAAGACACAATATATTTCGGCAGAAATAATTGGGTTTGAAAGTAATTTTCTTTTTATAATATGGTTCACTTATATGATAATAACTTTTACGGTGCTTTAATAAAATTTAAATTATCCAAATGTAATAAGGAAAAAATTGAAAATCTTAGTAGAGAGTGTTGAAGATAATTGTCAACTAATGAATTATTTTGTAAAAATAATTTTAACAATTATAGAAAATACTTTTAATTTTATCAATTAAATATATCTCAAATTTGATTTTTATTTATTAAATATTTATATTTCAACAAAATTTCTAACCAACCAGAATAATATAAAAGATAAATCAAATCGCAATTTTAAACATATTTTTCGAATCCCGCATAAATTTTTACAACTTTATAAATGTCAGACCTGCAGGTCCGGCAGAGCTAATTTTTCATACCCGGATCGAACTAGGCCTAAAAAAATTTTTTTTTAAATATCAGCCGGATCCGATATTTTTTTGAAAATGCTAAAATCGCAATCCTAGTCAAAAATTAAATAAACTATAAGAAAGAAATAGACAATGTAATATAATAACCAAATCCAACTAATATTAGAGGTAATTTTTTATATTGATTATTAAATTTTATAAATTATTAGAAAATAATTATAATATAACCAAACGACATCATTTTAATTTGTCCTTATATATTTTACTTTATTGTACAATAAATAAAATAGTTACTAATTAGAGAGTAATTATTATAATTTTTATTATTAGTCAATCAAAAAACTTACATTACAAAATAAAATACATTTCGCCAAAAAATGGACACAAAGTGTACTCTTTAATTTTAGTATTAAATGAAAAATTATCTTTATTTGAAAATAAAAAAAATAATTTTAAAAGCTACTAGATATTAAATTATTAGCTGAAAAACAAACCGTAAAATGCCGAATTGGTATATTTTTACACAAAATGGCGCTACAGCTTATATGTATTGACGCTTTTAATTAATAAATGGCCAATCTAATAGTATATATACATCATAGGTCTCTGCTTAATATTAAAAGTGTAAGGAATGTTGGACCCGAAACAAGACCGTAAACCGCTAATAAGGATTGATGTCTAGCAAATTCATTAAAATGTCTGGTTCTTATGGCCTATTCTTAAGATTTATATCCATACTTCAGATATATTTATAAAATTATAACGTTATTATATACTCTTTTTTTAATATTAAGCAATTGTTTAAATTAACTTCGAAATGATTTGTTCTTTTCAAAATACAATATTTAAATGATCAATACTCTCAATATAAATCGATAGTAGTCGATATCCAAAATAATAATTAACTTTGATTTAAAAATTTGAACCAAAAATCTATATTACTAAGAATGGAAGTTATATGTTAATTTTCTTATACTTCCTTATCAATCCGCCTACATTCCTATTTGTATAGGCCAAAAGAAGGGGTATCGGTGCATTGACAATATCTAATATGGGATTAGCCCAGTAGGTGTAAGATAGGCCCTGCATGATCAAAAATCTGTATTCATTACATCTTTTAAACTACCTCGTAGATTTTACCTCAGATTTTCCAGGTAAAGTGTCAATATAAAATTGGCTGCCCTACCTCCTTAGAAATTACCATAATTATGTTAATATTTAATTAAATAATATCATAAAGGGGACATTTCATTTGATTTTTTGAATGTTCTATATAAACTGGAACCTTAAAACATTGTTAGGATCCAATGATGCCGGATTCGTGATATTATTCGTCACATTAACGCCATTTGTGTTATTATTTATTGCCAGGGCAGATGCTAGCATTTTCTTTTTGGAAGGTAAAACACAGCGGCTTATAATGGTTCTGGGTTCTTTCATGATTTTAATAATAGGAGTTGCATTTTTTGACGTAGATTTACCTGATGATGATTCCCTTTTGATAGCGATGGGTGGTGGTTTAAGGTTTCTCTTTGAAGAGGAAGAAGCTTTGTTATTTTAATTTTTAAAAAGTAGGTAGATTAAAATAGGGACGTACCGATATTTTTTATCGGATAGGGCGTATATTTCCTCTTTTTAAAATCAATTATCGGCCAATATTATAAAATTTTACAATCCGATATAATAGTGTGTTAATTATTAAAAAATTTATTTCAAATGATAATATAATTGTATTATGTAAATAAATAAGTATTATTATATAATTAAGTGATTTATCAATAAGAATATATTACTTTTATATTCATGAATATAACAAAAATTGATCATGATATATTTAAATGCCTTATAGATGTTATACTATTAAAAAGCATATGAGATTAGTAGATATATGTATAATAAATTAATGCAAAATTACCTCTTGATCCGATTTTCAAAAACGGCTAACTCAAAATTTAGGCAAAAAAAATATTGCCTAAACCTCTAATTTCGCTGATAGATGTATCTTTGGACCATCTATGAGCAAAATCTTCACGCTTGCGTAATATTTTTCTGGATAAAATAGTTTTAGCCATTTATGTTTACAGAATACAAAATCATATATAATATGGGATCGGTAATCGGCCGATATCAATTTAATATCGGCAATATAGGATCAGATCGGCCGCCAAAAAAATAATTTTTGTTAAAAAGATAGGCAAGAAATAAGTCCGCTATTTCCCTATATTCATATTCTTTCAGGGTTCTTTTTAAAGAAATCGATATAAATAATCAATTTTAAGATTTTCTGACCTCTATTTTCGAATGATTTGGTAATAGGAGCGTCTTTGACCTCGTTATTAGTCTTTTGGAGGTTGACAAATTTTTTAAAAGGGTTGGGTCTGTTATTACCCTTATTATACCGAGTATTGTGTTGGTTGCCGTTGTTAATAGACGAATTCATCATGGCACCTCTTCGGTACTTAGATATCAGATATCTAGCCGTGTGGTTAGGTGTACTTTTGTAGGCATAGTTACGCTAAAATAATAGACAAATTTTTAATTAGCCATAAATAGTTTGATTTACAAAAATATATATTTGACTATTTAAAATGCTACTTTAATTTTTATATTTTTCGGAGTTAGAATATGATTTTTAGTAGTGTTAATCAATCAGCTAATTTACATAAATTATTCAATATGGTTTAGCTAAGCTTTTACCACAAGTGGGTATTTCCATATCAATTCGATAATTTTTCGGCCCGATTTTTTCCATTTTGATAAAATTTTACATAATTAAAATATCATTAGAAAGCATCGAATCCAAATTTAACCTCCTAGTACTAATAGTTCCTGAAATATCAATAAACAATAGTGCAAAATGATATCTTTTCGAAAAATGGATTTTTTTAAATTGAGAAGTTAAAAAATAATGATGCTAAAAATAAAAATTATATATCATTTTGTAACTCTATTATAGGCCTTTTAGTAATGTTGGGGTTTTTATTTATGGTATAAATTTCGAACTTGAAAGCTTCAAGTGTTTCGCTTTCTAATTTTATATTTATTATATCTATTTGCAAAAAAATTTGAACTTGAGACAGCTTGGGTTTTTTAGTTATTGCGATTAAAAAAATATATATATTATTTCACAAATAGATGGTGCTCCTATATAAATTAACACATATTTGTTAAAATTATTTATTTTTTTAATTTTTCCAATTTTTAACATAAATAATAAGATTTTCCAGCATTAATATCACAAAAATATATTATTTAAGTAGTCGCTGATAGGCTTACTTATTGTTATTACTATTGATAACTTGTAAAAATTAATTATTTTTATAATAAATGATTAAAGTTCCTAAAACGATTTTATGATTCCGATATCTCCTGCAATAAAATATAGTAATTAATTGTCGAAAGATAAAAGCCAATTTTCATGCACCTCCCCTGCTATTAATTAATTTTTATTTAATAAATATTACGATATTAATATATTTTTTTCGTCAAATGTTTTTAATGAATATAAGCACTTTAATTATAAAAAAAATCTGCAAAATGTTATGACATGGAAGAATCAATTTCCAACCATTGAGTCGGAACATTAATTTATGATAAATGTCGTAAGCATTTATCACAAAAAAATCTAGAAAATATAAATTGAAAAGGAAATAAATATTATCCCCATAGCATTGGCATCAATGGATACAAACAATATTACTTTAATTGTGGAATATCTCTTAAGAAAAAAACATTATAAAAAAAGGAGAGCGAAAATATTAAAAGATATTTCAGATATAATAATTAACAATCTAGAATAGATTAGTTGCCAAGGCAAGCTTACAAAGACCTTCTTCAGATCAAATAATAATACCTGTACAATTTACTTTATAAATATGTTGATGAGCATATAAAAGTATAAATTTTTATTATGCCACCATATCAGAGTCTGAGGTAGAAGAGATAGGGCTAATTTAATTAATCTATCTCAATAACTGGGAAACAAAAAATTCACGCATACTAACATATATTCCAATTAGCAGATATTTATTGTGGAGAATATAGTAAATTCATGTGAGGATCTTTTAATCGATGAAATTAGAGAATACATGACCTGTATGTAAGAAAACGATTGGTGGTTGAGATGGAAATTTAAATTTTTTACAAGAAAAAGAAGATTATAACTGCAGCTAAATAATTTTATTTCATGATATTAATGCTGAAAAATCTTATTATGTATGTTTAAAAATGGAAATTATTTTAAAAAAATAAAATAATTTTAATAATAATACGTTGAAAAAAATGTTCATTAATTTTTTTGTCCCAAGTTTTAATTTTTTTTACAGATAGATATAAGATACAGTGTTTCCATTCAAAAAAGGAATAGTGAAAAAGGTTCAATCAAAAAAGGTAAAGTGTCAAACAAAAAAGGAAAAGGTCTAATCAAAGCGATCAAAAAAGGAACTAATTCAAAAAAGGAACTAATTCAAAAAAGGAAAATAGTTATTTTTTCTTGCCAATATTTTTTAAATTTTATTTATTTTTATTATTCCTTCTTATTTTATTTCTAACTTTTTGCGATTTCTTTACTTTATTTTTCTTACTATTTTCCTCAATTCATGTTTCTTCGCATTTTTCATAATTCATTTGTCTTTTGAAAAATAATTAATAAATTTCCCCTATTATTTTTCTTCACTTCTCTACTAGATTTTTTTAACAATTCTTTACTTTTTTTCATCATACATAACAATATTTTGACTTTTTATCATTTACTCCTTATATTGTTATCTTTTACATACATTTCTTTTTTTAAATCTATTTAAGTCATTTTTAATCTTTATTTTTCTGATATTTTCTCAATATTTTTTTTACTCAATTTTGATAAATAATTATTTTTAATTTTCACTTAATTTTTATTTCTCAATGGCAGACAATAGAATTTTAATAAAAGAATTAAAAATGATTATATTTTATTAATTTACATATCGTTTGTTATTACAGTTCGAAAATGATACATTGTAACCAAACAATTAATTTAATTTAGTAATTGTAACTAAATAACTTGATAAGTAAATTCTAATAAAAAAAATTGTCTGCCATTGAGTAATAAAAATTAAAAATAATCACAAAATAGGATTATCAAAAATGAGAAGGAAAAAAAATTGAGAAAAGATCAGAAAAATAAAGATAAAAATGACTTAAGGAGATTGAAAAAGTTAGAAATGTATGTAAAAGATAATAATATAAGGGGAAAAAATGATAAAAAGTCAAAATATTGTTATGTTTGATGAAAAAAAAGGAAAGAATTGTTATAAAAAAATGGAGTAGAGAAGTGAAAAAAAATAACGGGGAAAATTTATAAATTATTTTTAAAAAGACAAAAAGAAATATCAAAAATGAGAAGAAAAATAAATTGAGAAAAGATAGTAAGAATAATAAAGTAAAAAAATCGCAAGAAGTTAGAAATAAACTAAGAAGGAATAATACAAATAAATAAAAATTTGAGAAAAATTGATAGGAAAAAATTTATAATTTTTTTTAAATAATATTTTAAAAAAATACGATTTTCCTTTTTTGAATGGGAATTTTCCTTTTCTAATTGACACTTTTCCTTTCTTGATTGGATCTTTTCCTTTTTTATTTGACATTTTCCTTTTTTGTTTGAAATTTTTAATTTTTTGATCAAACTTTTTATTAAACCTTTGCGACTTTACCTTTTTAGATTGACACTTTTCCTTTTTTGATTGGACCTTTTCCTTTTTTGATTGGACCTTTTCCTTTTATGATTGAACTTTTCCTTTTTTGAATGGGAAACGCTGTATTTTAAAAAAAAATCAATTAAAAATTCCTAATAACTTATGAAATTTTCTCTTACATAGTATAATAGTATTTGAATGTAATCTTTTTTATAAATCGATTTCGATATAATATCATAAACAAATTTACAAAATTTAAGTCTGGGCTGGATTTTCAAAACCATCCCCTAACTTAAATAATTTGAAATTTTTATTTTTCAAAAACACTAGGATTTTTAAAAAAAATTGAAAATCAGTGGCTATTAATATCGAGTCAATACTTCGCCTCAGCCCTCGGATATCAGCTAAAAAGGTGATAATCGCTAAAACTAATGTTGTTAAACGGATCGATTTTTTAAACGGCCAACTCAATATTTTAACCAAAAAGTATCAAGTTCATATATAGCAGTAACGTCTGGACACTATTAACATTTCAAGGCGTGTAATATTATTTTGGCTAAACTCTTAATTTAAAATCGACTAAATGGCGCTGTTTAACAACACTAGATGCAACTTTACAAACAATTAATTTGGAAGAAAAAAATTTGTTTAAATCAATCGATAATCAGATGCTTAAAATAAGGCTTTTTGAAAAAAGTCTGTTTGAATAGTGAACATTACGATGATTATAAAAAAAATTAAGTGCGCGTGATAATATTATAAAAATGATAAATTACAATAACCAACTAATTATAACCGAAAATAGTCTCAAATAATACGCATTATATTATAACTTACGCGATTAAATTCGAAATGCCCCATCCGCCTTTGCCCCCTTCCCCATTCAGGCAAATTTTGGTTATTGTGCCTAATTTCCGAGTCATCGTTGCTAGCCCCCTGAGAGTATTCCCTGTCAATAATATGTTCGGTGTCGCGATTGTTCAAATTATGGTTGAAATCGGAATAAATCCTTCGCTTGGTATGCTGTCTCTCGTAGTTCAACCCTCCTCTTCTGTCGCCATCATACGGGTCAGTATTGTATCGAGGCGCGGTTTTGTAGGGAGTGCCAAATTCACGTGGAGAATCTATATTCAGCGAGCACAATGAGGGTATGTGAGAAATCTAATAGTAAAAGTAATTCGTTGAAGATTAAAATTGATAGTTATATATGTAAATTGATGACTCCTAATAAAACTTGGATTTTAAATTTGACAATAAAATTTATGTAAACTGAGTCAACCTTAAAATCGGACCAACTGTCTTCTGTGAATCAAATAAGATTAAATAAATATACTGTGTTCTAGAGGGTAATATAATATAAATACTAAAATGAATTCCAGCGGTGAATCTAAAAAATAAGACTAGTTGAAATGTAACTTAGTCTTCTATTTTAAAAATTAAATTGTTTTAGAGTTAAAAATATGTATGGAAACTAAGTATGAACACACATTTTCGCTGTTATTTGGTATATTCGGAATAGGTAAGGAACGTTGATTGATATTTCGATCGGTTCGTCGATATCGATTTGCGAATTTATTTTTGTTAAAATTGTTATTGGTATTATTTTTGATTTTATTAACGTTGGACTTAGGCATGGGTGAATTAAGAGTTTTGTTGACGACAACGACTATGGAAGAGGGTTGAAGAATAGTGAGTAGTTTCTGGGGCGGCTTGATATCATCTTGAACTATTTTTGAAGCCTAAAATATTGTGAAATTTTAATTGGTATGTTAAATAACCTCATTCTAAATTGTTCAGGCTTAATAATACAACCGCCTTGTACTGACATTATCCTCCGTGCTTCCATTTTGAACTAATACTAATTTTTTGATAAACCGAAACTGATATTTACATAGAAATATAATTCAAGTTTTTACAATATTCGCTTAGTAAAAACCAACAAAGTAGATTTTTAATTCATTACAAAGTAGTCAAGCATCATTTTCAATTAGATTTATTATTTCATATATGTTAGTAGGTATATTCTAGGGATCACAAGTTGCACTTGGTATCGATATAATTATAGGACTGAAATCATATAACATACTGCACTCTTGAGCAAATAATCTTAGCAGCGCCAATCAAAACAATTGTATTCCTACACGCCTTAACAATTCAGATATGAACCTATTAACACAATCTTAAAACTATAAGATAAATATTTTAAAATTGCATAAGTAATTTTAATTTACTAGGTTTTTTATTTACTTTTTTTTGCACAGATGATTTGGCGGATGAAACTGCTGATGAAATCTTGCTAGCAGCATTCGATTTTGATTTTTTTTCACGAGCGTCAATTTGATGCTTTGATTCCTTACATAATTTTAATACGATATGTAAAAAAAATATTTATTAGTAAATAAAACTTCTTTTTTTAAAAATTTTAGAATAAATAGAAATCGGTTGAGTATGTATGACTCAACAATTTGAAATTCTCTGAATTTTACCCATCATGTTAGTTTTACTTTAATAAAATCATTAACTTTAATTATAGGGAGAAAAGAAACAATACATTAATAATAAAGGCTGTAACTACAAATAAAAAATGAGCGAATATTACATAAATTAGTTATTTAGAACAATTAATTATATTTATTTATGCTATTTTATAATGTAATACTGAACATTCCCTAATTCTACAATGTTAAAAAAATAGACTTGCTTTTCCTTAACGAAAAAAAAAACAAAAAAGTGTGAATATTCGGTCCTTCCGTAAAGTTTGTCAGTTATGCTTATGGGAAATATGCAGAATTCTGACCACGAATTAAGGCTCGGCGGTTTAAGTTAAGATAGAAATTAATTTAGGTTCGGTTGATATATAAAGAGAAAAGAATTTTCTTATTAATATTATAATATAAATAAAATAATGATTGAAATTATTTAAAAATAATATTTAAACATACAATTGAAACATTTGATTCTCCTTTGTCAAATTATATCCATAAGGAGAAAGGAATAAATTTCATGGTTGAAAGAACTTCCATTAAGAAGTTGTAAGGATGTTATATTCATTATAATATTAAAAAAGAGAAGGTGGGAGGGGGGGGGGGGAGGGGATAAATAAATATCAAGAGTAGTATGCTAGTTTGGATTTCCTTATTTTTCATCTTCACTCTCTTTAAACCTCCCTCAATATAAAATATTATTATATTATTTTAATTATCATAACTATGATTAAATTATAGCCAATAATTTTATTTTGATTTTACCACCCCTATAGTTCCAAATAGACTTAGTTGGATGTTTTCAAAATAATAATCGATATGGGAAGAAATTATTGAAATTCCCAATTGGAAAACCAAATGAAAGGCGTTATTTTATTGAAACCATTTTAATAGTAATTTCTATTAATTCCTGCATTTAGGAAATATAGAATAATTTAAATGTATATTTTTGTGTCCGATATTTAATTTTTCCAAATGGGTTGAAATGGAAAAGATTATGAGTTAACCTGGCAAATATTTAAACGAGTATATAAAATGCACTTATTAACATCAGAATGGAATAGCAATTCATCTTATTATAATTGATAATTAAGCATTAAACGGGATAGTTGAACCAGATACATACAATCCAATATATTACTTAGTGTGGTTAAATGGCTGGTTTTACACGATCATGACCCTGGTTTTTGGTCGAAAAAATGAACCAGAACCAACCCAAACTAATGGGTTGATCTGGTCAGCCAAATTGATAGTAGCATCAACCCAAAACTAACTTATAATATATTATTGTGAATATTTTGCTCAATCATATTTTTATGCATAGAAAACGAATATTTCAATACTAACATAGAAATAATTATCCTTAATAATATTAGATTCCTTTTTTTAATTGTTCTCTTCTAATAATCTGAAAATATTGTATAATTTTTAATTTACACTAGAATCTATTTTTATGTATATTTTTTTAATAATAACTATAAATAAAATCGAAATCCATTTTTATGTATATTTTTTTAATAATAATAATTAATTAATAAACATTCTGCCATATTGTTATTTTTTTTGCGCATTCTGTTTATAAAAGTGTGCGATAATCTCTTCATAATCTGTTTTTAGCAAGGATGTAAACCCGGCAAAATTTTTGCCCGGGTTCGGTTTGTTTAAGGTTAAAAAAATAGGTGGATTCGGTTCAGGGAAATATTTTAGAACCCGGGATTGGTTCCGGGTTTAGCTCGGGTTTAAGAATTTTCGAATTGATAAAAAAAAATATTTTATATTTTAATCATAATTAAAAAACTAGACATAAATTTAAAAATAAATTTTTTATTTTATTTATAAGCAAAATATAATTAAAAATACAAAGCAAAGTCATGTATATATTTAAAAAATTTTATTTAGACGTATTTCTTTAAATTAACAATATCCAATATAATAATTTTTACTTTGCTTGTTCACTTTCACTTTCCTCTAATTAATAATCTGAATAAGTTAAAAATTAAAAATAAATGGCGTAAATGAATTTAATTGTTTAAAATTTATTAACAATCCAATAGGAATTTTTGAGAATAAATTTTAAAAAATTTAAAAATGAAGTAAATATTATAAAATGTCAGGTAAATAATTAACAGGGATGTGAACCCGGACCCGGACCCTGAACTCGTATTTTGGCTGAACCCGAACCCTTTTAAAAAGTGGAGGGTTCAAGGGTTCAGGGTAAAAATTTTAACATATAAATTTTTTTTTTAAATAATGTAAAAATATTATTTTTAAAAAATAATATAAAATTTTTATAATTTTATTAATTTTTTTCGTGGAATCATTTATTTTATATTCGCGCTTTTCTTTTGATTTTCTTCCTAAACTTCATTTCATTTTATTTAGAGATTGATACCATAAATTATTTTCTAATGTAAGTAATAATATTTTATTATGTAAATTTATTAATATGCTTTTTGCCTAAAAAAAAGCATTCATATTCAAACGTCTGAGGAGAATTTGATGAATGCTTTAGTTGAGCTTGTTACAATAAATGGAAGACCTTTCAATATTATTGAGGATTCCGGTTTAAAAAAATTATTGATCCTATTAGTAAGGCAATTGGAACATCAATTAACCGTTTATTAAGGACTTAGTGGTTGATGAATCGAAAAAAATGCAAGCAAAAATTATAAAAGAAACAAAAAACAAATTAATTTCATTAAAAATGGATTCCGCTCAAAGATTAGGGAAAAATATTTTAGGAATAAATATACAATATATTAAAGGAAATAATATAATCTTAAGAAATTTAGCAATGAAGGAGATTAAAGAAAGTTCAACTTCTGAAAATATAAAAAGAATGATAATAGAAACTTTAAATAAATTCCATATTCCTTTAAGAAACGTTTATACCATTACTACGGATAATGGTGCTAATCTAGTCAAATCTATTAAATTATTAAATGAATGTTCATTGGACGAAATGGATGATATAGATATAAATAATGATGATAATAATTTTGAGGACATAAGTGAATTTGACATACCGGAGATAATAAAAGATTTTTCCACGAAGATATACTGTATCAGATGTGCAGCCCACACACTACAATTAGCTATTAATGATTCCCTCAAAAATAATATCTTTAAAACTATAATTGACAAAGCAAGGGATGTTGCAAAATATTTAAGAACTCCTACAATTGTACGAATATAAAATCCATGAAAGACAAATGGCAATATTAGATTGCACAACCCGTTGGTCCTCTATCTGTATGATGCTAGAGCGATTAATAAGTTTAAAAGATTTCTGTGATGATTTTATTATAGGATCATGTGAAATCATTTTGTCAGAGGATGATTGAAATCAAATCAAAGACCTTACTAGGGTGTTGGTTCCTTTGAAAATTACTACATTATGATTGCAGTCAGAACAGTTGTGTTTATCCGATTTTTATGGCATATGGGTGAGATGTCGATTAGAATTAGAAAAATTTACAAGTTCCTTTTCATACGAAATATTAGAAAACATGAAAATACGAGAGCAACAATATTTGAAAAATAGTGTTGTGTATGCCTCAATATATTTAGATCCTCGATATCAAGTTCTATTAAGTATTGAGCAAAAGCAAATGGCAATAGACCATCTCGACGATTTATGGCATAACCATAACTCTATTATTAACAATATATTGGAGGCTTCAACATCTAATGGTTGTAGCGATAGTAATGATGATAGTAATATTGACGATCTCGAAATTTTATTATTAGATAGAGAAAAAAAAATAAAATTATCATCAGGATCAGATAGAAAGGTGAAAAAAATATCGATTGTATCTTTAATTGAAAAATTCTCAGAAGTTAAGAGAATTAATAGGGATAAAAATATAACATTCTGGGAGGAAAATTCTCTAATATATCCTGAATTGTATACCTTGTCTAGATTCGTCATGGCTGTACCGGCGACACAGGTACAATAATTTATATATTATAAAGATAACTATCTATTTTAGGTCAGCGTAGAACGTGGATTTTCTTCTTTGAAATACATATTGTCTAATTTATGTGGAAATCTCAAGGATGATATTTTAGAAGATATTATGATCGTTCGATTGAATAAAATATTTAAAATTTAAATTATTTCATTTTGAATTATGAATGTGTATATATATTGAAGTATAATAAAAATGAATGAAAAAAAAGTCTTATTTTGAGTCATTATTTTTATGTTCCCTGGACCCGGAACCTGGGTCCTTTAAAAATTTATTACAGGACCCGAACCCGGACCCTTTTTTTTTGTTGAAGGGTTCACATCCCTGATAATTAATATTTGTATTTACAATTATATAGATATCTTATATAAATTTAAATAATACACGGAACCCGGTTGAACCCGGATTCAAATAAAATTCCAGAGTTTGGTCCGGGGTTTTGAAAATTTTATAAACGGGGTTCAGGTTCGATTTAAGTTCAAATTTTTTCCCCAAAAACCTGGGTTTTCTTCTACGGCTTCGGGTTCGGTTCGAACCCCTAGTTTTTAGTGAAGCTGGTGATATTGACAGTTATCATAGCCGTAGGCTGACCTCTGATAAATTGGAAATTTTGGTATTTCTAAAAAGATTTTCGATATATTAATGTTAAATATTATTTTAAATATTTATTTCAAATTTCATAATATATTTGTTTATTACTTATTATATGTATAGATTAATGTTATATAAAAGTGATTTAACAATAAAAATATTTAATATACTTTTAAAATTACAATTGAATTGAATATAAACTATAACTGATCATTGTAATATATTTAAATGACATAAGTTAAGGTATAGTTAAATTATATATGTTATAATAATAAAAATTATATTCAAAATTAAAATTATTGGTATCTTTACAGAATACAAAATTAGATATGACATCAGATCGGGAATCGGCCGATATCAATTTAATATCGGGAATATCGGATCGGCTCCCTAGGGCTAGGTGTGGAATAACTGTAAGCAGGGTCGAATACAATCTAGATTGTCTCATATAAATATCTACTAAGGGAGACCGGGCCTATATTTATCCATAAAAAATTTAAGAGCTATAAAAAATAGACTACGCAAATTTTTCAAAATATTTAAAATTCATTTTTATCTTTTTATGTTAATTAATATTTAAGAAAAATTCTGCTGGGTAACAATATCCCCGGTATCTCTTAAACCTTGGCATATTTAAATAAAAATACCGAGTTATGTTATATAAGATATCGTCTTTTTTATGACAAAATATATTATACTAGTCATGGTGAACAATTGGATATATATATTTTAATAAGTGTTTATTGCAAAACAATTATAAGTTGAGAAGAATCAAATAAAATTTCAGAAAATAAAACTAGTATTTTGCACATAGATCTGTCCAATTTTTTTTTTAATATTTCCAATTAATTATCTTTATAAGAATCCCAAAATAATTTAAAAAATATCAGGCCCGACCGAGCCCAAAATTAATATGGTGTAATTTATATATTATTTTGAAGATATTTTAGTAAAAATCTATTTCATAAAATTGTGAGGCTTTTTAGTAGCTTTTATGATGGTGTATATTTCAGGTTATTTAAATTTTGGATAGCCAACATTACTAAATATTTTGTCTGGAAGGGAATTTTTGTATTTATTTAACAATTAATGATTATCGTAATATCCATTAGCAAATTAAGGTTAAATAACAATAAATGGCTCAATATTAAATAGAGTCAACATGGGGTGACTTAAATTAACTCCTAAGTTGATTAATGCCAACTCATCTAGTTGGCTGGAGCCTTAGCCATTTTTATAACTTTAGGACAGATCCTGATAATTGTTAATTAAACCCGTATTTTTTTTGATGATATATGAATTATAAATAGCTAAAAATCGATAAATCCCTATAAGAGAAATATTTCAACTTCAATGTTATTTAATTAATATTGAATAATTTTTAAATTGGGTTATCAATGACAACTCGAGCTTGCGACTCAATTTGCTAGTATAAAGTAAAGATTATACAATATTTTTATCTCAAGATAAGAACATCATAAAAAAAGTAATCTAATATTTTCTTTTTCTAATATGATAATTATTTCTATATGAATATTGATCTACTAGTCCTCTAGTCTGTAATTTGGGTTTCCAATCACAACTCGAGTTGAGTTGTTAGTGTAAAGTAAAAATCATACAATATTTTTAGATTATAAGAAGAGAACAATTTTTAAAAAATAGAATCTAATATTATTAAAGATAATTATTTCTATGCTAATATTGTATGTTCATCCTATATGCATAAAAATATGATAGAGTAAAATATCCACATTAAAATATTATAAGTTGGTATGGGGTTGGTTCTTGGAGTGCTCAGGTATGAGTTTGGTCCACCAGATCAACCCATTTGATTGAGTTGGTTCTAGTTCATTTTTTATACCAAAAATTTGGCCAAAATCATGATAATTAGGTCCAACCAAACATTAACCACTTATTACTATTAGGGGTTATTTTCTTTAATATATCTTACAACATTATTTCTAATCCTTAAAGTCCAATTTTATTTCTGATCCTGAGCATTGCTTTAAGCATATGTCATAAAATGTAAAATAAAGTTCCATCTCAAAGAAAATTTATGAAAAAATAATAATTTACAAAATAATAAGATTAAAAAAAGTGTGCTTTCCCCTATCAAATTTTTAAGCATTTGATCTATGCCTGCCAGATATATTTTTTTTAGAATTTACTCTTTTATCATGAGAAGGGAATAAATTTGTGTTAGAATCTTTGCATTTAGAAGATTCCTTTGCAATCTTTTTAGTTTGAGTGATTGATGTTGATTGATGTCCTTTATTCTTATCAACTTTAGGAGCCTGTAAATGACTATATAAGTTCATTTTAAAATATTATAAATAAACAAATGAAAAGTATTATTTTAATTTAATTAAAAAACATGTTTAAAAAATATGTATAATTATTTACTCTGAGAAACTGCCTTTATGTGATTTGGTACTCTCTCCAGATTGCCCAGAATGTTGAATTTGTAAATTAATACTCCCAAATTTTTGAACTCTATCAATATTATCTTTTATTTTATCATGCCTAAAAACACAGCTATCCCCATACATACATTCACCAAATTTAACCCATTTTTTACACACTTCTTTATTACTAATTTGATCATCACTTTTAATCTTCGTGCTTATGACATTTTGATATTGAGTGATAGATACTGATTTTAATTTATTGTGTGGTTTAATAATTTTTGAAGTGTACCATTTCTCACTTTTCTTATGTTTGCCCAATTCAATCATCCTTTCTTCTTCAGAAGCATCATTTAAATGTAGAATTTTTTGATGTTTGATTCTTTTGTTAGAATTAGCATTACTCCCTCTTTGTAATTCTATTATTGGGGAAAGAGATTTAATTTTAATCCTTTTACTTCTCTCCCTAGTACTGCCGTCATTATTTTCATACTTAAGGTCTGGTGATAATTCCCGTGTCCTTATATTAGACGACTATTGTTATTTATTTTTTAATCATTTTAATGTTATCTATTAAATTATAATTTAGATAAACATTTAAAATAATTGTAGTAAAAATATTCAATTTGAAAACATTCTATAATTTATATTATACTTTCTTTTCGAATTTATTAATAACAAAAATCTTATAAATATTTTAGTTCATAAAAATTAATTACAATAATCAAATTTAACCATATTATAATTTTTTAGTTTTCATAAAAATATTATAAAGTATACTTTGTGAGAAGACTCTGAATATTTCGACTTCAAATTAAGCTTAGGTGTTGATTGAAATTTTTTTGCATATATCCCTCTTTTATTATATACATTAAACTTAGAAGACATTAAATTGACATTAAATCTAAAAAAGTAAAGGCATGAATGAATATTATCGTAAAATAGCGATACATTTAAAAAATATGATCATAAATATAATATAATAGATCTATTCAATACTATAATAAAAAATTGTTATAACGATTGAAATAATAAACATACAGCTAATATTCTATTTTAAAAGTGTTTATTAAAAAATATTGCAAATTCATAATCAGTAATGTTAATATAAATTAATATTTTATTTATTATAATTTCGATATTTTTTTGTCAAAATTTATAGTTATTCTGTATTTTAACAAATTTAAAAATTTTCATTAAGTAAAATAAAAAAACATTAATATTCTCTATTTTATTAAATTAAATAATCCTAGCTTTTTTTACAAACAATCCCATTTCTTATTTTCTCTATAATTTTTTTTACAAGATCAAATGTAATAAACAGGGTTGCCAGGTCTCCATATGAGCTTGAGGCTGCGGAATTATTTGTGCTCACATCTGCTTATCACCAGCAATCCAATGGCCAGGTAGAACGCAGGGTGAGAACGTTCAAAAAGGAATATCAAAATTGACTTAGACATCGCACTTGACAAATTTTTATTTAATTACAGAAATACGCGTAATGATACTACAGGAGTTACACCTTCTAAGTGAATGTTCAATCGTGATATTAGAGTTAAATGGGACTTATTAAAACAGTTGGAGGAGAAGAACAAAATAAAAGTTACTTTACCACGAAATAGAACCTTTAACGTAGGAGATTTTGTTTGGTATAGAGTACAAGAGAATGACACATGGGACAAAGGGACAATTAATTTGAAGAAAAGTGATATTATGTTCCAAGTTTATACAGGAAAAGATATTACAAGGAAACACCTGGACCAATTAAGAAAGAGAGAATGCTATAACACATTTGCATACCACGACTCTCCTAAGAAGGACAGAAGCGTGGACAAAAATATTAAAACTAATGATAAAAATATTGTAAGACTGACTCCTGAATCGATACGAATTAGACAAAAACCTGTTTATCTAAAAGATTATATAACTTAAAATATTAAAATATGTAAAAATAAATTAAATACTTATACTAATTAGTCTTAAATAAGCATACACAAATATGGATGGCTTTATTAACTGAAAATCACCTGATATTTACAACTGATATATATATTAATATGATTGATTTGTATGTATGATATTTATAACATTGATAATATATAATATAAATCTCAATTATAACATATCCCCACACATATGATCTTACAATTACTCAATCAGCCGATTTGTAGGTTTCCTGGCTCTTTGTGATTTCCGTGTTTCAAGTTTTCCGTTATCTTCCACATTTTCTAAAATCTCAACTATATCCGACTCTTTATTTTTTATATTTTCCTCTTCTCTCTCTGACTCCATATTTTCTCCATTTTCTTTCCCTGGCCCAGACTTCTCCATTTCTTTAGCTACATCCCTTTTTCGAAGTTGATCCGCATGCTTTCGTACCATTCTATCCTCGCTTCCTACCAAATAAGAATATCTACCAGTTCTGGATTTTATAACTCCTTCTCTCCAACCTGAATTTATTTCATTATGCACCCATACAGGTTGTGCAATCTCAAATTCTCTCATATGACTATGTTCATCAAGCGCTACTTTTTGTCGTATATTCGAGTTCCATTTCATAACTAACATAAGAACGTAACCAATTCAATCCCGTTTTTAAATTTCACCCCAATAATAACTTAGCCTGTGAACGTCCAGTTGATTGATGCTCACCCATTCTATATGCTAGCAAAACTTTTCCCATGGCTTCCTCAGGCTCCCTGATGTCTTTCCTAGTTGCAAAATATCGACTCTTGAGGGTTCGTATCGTTCTTTCCGCCAACCCGTTCGTTTTTGGATGGTACGGTGTTGTATGTATCAATTTAATATTTTTCTCGAAACAAAATTTTCGAAATTCTCCAGAAATAAATTGAGGTCCATTATCTGATACGATTTATCTAGGTGTTCCAAACCGTGCGAACCATTTCCTTAAAACCCTGATCATTGTCGTGGACGTGGTCTCTCTCATTAACTCAACCTCAACCCATTTAGTATGTGCATCAACTCCAACTAACCATGAATACGAATCAATAGGCCCCGCGAAATCCAAATAAATTCGTTCCCATGGTATATTTGATATGTTCCACGAATATAAAGGAACCTCCATAATATTCGACCGATTACTTTGACAAGGCATACATTGACGAACATATTGTTCAATATCTTTATCGCAATTCGGCCACCAGCAATACATTCTAAAAATTGATTTCATAGCATTTATTCATGGATGCCCTCTGTGTATAATCGTTAATATTGATTTCCTCAAAATGGTTGGAATTACCAACTTCCCATTCCATTCAATAACATTATGATCTACTGACAATTCCTCTCTACGATTATAAAAACAAACTAACTCTGTATATTTTTTCGCATCAAAATCCACCCATCCATGCTCAATGTTTTTAACTACATTTTTAAACAAGCTATCATTCTTTGTTTCATTTTGGAGTTCAACTTGACTAATATTTATATCGTGCAAATTTATAGCTCTAATTTTTAACGCGTTTTTTGATCATTATTTGATTTTATGCCATCTATTGGCAGTCTAGATAATGTATCAGCTACTTTATTTTCTTTTCCAGGAACATATTAAATATCAAAATCATATGCGGACATTTTCCAAGCCCAGCGCGTTAATCGACTATTGAATATTTTTGGTAGTTTCCGTTTATCACCAAATAATTTTTCCAAAGGTTTGTGATCTGTTCGTAATAAAAATTTTCGACCAAAAATGAATGTTTGAAATTTTTCCATACCAAACAAAAGTGCTCGTGCCTCTTTTTCTATTGGTGCATAATTTTTCTCTGACTCTAGAAGTGTTCGCGAGGCAAATGCGATTGGTCTGCTAATATCTTTTTTCACTAAATAACATAACACAGCTCCAAAACCAGTGTTGAAAGCGTCACATTCCAATATAATTGGCAAGTTTGGCGAATATGGAATTAGCGTTTTATTTGTTGACAAAAGCTGTTTTATTTTATCAAATACCTCTTGTTCCTTGTCCGACCAACCCCAGCAAGATTTAATGCTTGTTAATTTATGCAGAGGAGCGGCAATTCCATGTAGATGTGGCAAAAATCTCTCGTGATAATTCACAAGTCCTAAAAAAGATCGTAATTGGTGTATATTATTAGGAGTTGGTATCCTTCGAATAGCATCTATTTTTTCTTTCGCTGGATGTATTCCTTATTTGTCTATTACGAAACCCAAAAAAGAAACTGATTCATTTAAAAAACGTATTATGGCCCATTTTGCTTTCATACCCACCTGTTTTAGTTTTATTAGTACTTTTTTTACGTTATTCAAATGTTCTACATCATTTTTTCCCGTTATGAAAATATCGTCAAAATATACTCCGGTCATTTGGCAGTCTTGTAATAAATTGTCCATATATCTTTGAAATATGGTCGGCGCACTAGAAAGACCGAAAGGAATACATTGATATTGAAAATAACCAATGTGGGTCGATATGGACTTTCTTTTATTGGTAATTGTAAATATGCATCTTTCAAATCTATTACCGTAAATTTCAATCCATCTTTTAATTTGGTTAAAAGATCATCCACCGTTGGTATAATATGATAATCGTACAAAATATATGAGTTTAATGTCACCTTAAAATTCGCACAAATCCTGATTTCTCCATTTGTTTTTCGTACGTTTACTGTTGGAGTGGCCCATGTCAAACGTTTTTGTGTTGGATCAATCGCCTTCAATATTCCTGATTTAACCAATCTATCGAGTTCCATTTCAATTGGTTTTCGTAATGGAAAAGGTACTCTACAAGCTGGCCATGATTTCGGCCTTGCTGCCTCACTCAAATGTATGCTAACTTCTATATCATTCACCTGTCCAAGCTTGTCATCATAAACACTGAAAAATTCTGTTGTCATGCCAGCAATTTGTTTATTGGTTGTCATAACCTCTTTATTTGTAATACTACGTATAGTCACTTGTCGTGGAATAAACATATTAAATGCCAGTATCCATGGTAGTCCAAATAATGTAATGTCATTTGAACGGGTCACCACAATCGGTAGTGATCTGCTTATCTTTCCAAGACGAACCCTCACCATAGTTTCACCAAGCACATCTAGCGGTTGGTTACCATATACTGATAAAGGTTTGGTTGGTCCAAGTTTGGGTCGGGCAATTTTATCCCAATATTGTTTCCCAATCACCGATACCTGTGCCCCCGTATCATAGTCAAATTCTATAGGTACTCCATTTATCCAAACAAATATCTTTGCACTATTTCTACCAATTTGGGAAATATTATTAATTGAATCTGATGAATCATTGTCATCTATATGCATAGCATGTAACTTCTGTCCCTTACAATATTTAGCATAATGCCCTACCTTTTGGCAATTATAACATTTCACGCTTGATGCAAAACATTGAAAAGGGGGATGAGTTCTTCCACATTTTGAGCATTTATTAAACTTATACATATCATTATTGTTAAATTTATTGTTATCTCTAAACTTAAAATTATTACTATTGTTATTATAATAACTAAAATTACCTTTTTCTTTGTTATTATTATATGAGTACTTTTGATTATAAAAATTTTCTTGATTATTCTCTATCTGCTCCTTAGGTTTATTGACTTTTTTTACCATCATATTTGTCACTTCATCTTCAGCCCTTTCCATTGCCAAAGCCATATTTAAAACCTGTTGAAAACTCACCCTTTCTCCCAAGTCATTTAATCCATCTAAATCTAGTGCGAATATCTTTCTCCAATGCACCCATTTTGATTCCAGCCACCATCTGATCCTTTAATCTCCCATCTAGGTCAGATTCAAATTTACATTCTTGAGCCAATTTTCTAAGTCGAGCTGCAAACTCCGCAAATGATTCACCAACCCCTCTTTCTATCCGAATAAATTTAATTCTCGAGCTAAATAATGTTGAAATAGGCTTAAAAACTTTCTTACCCACTTCAATAATCTCTTCATAATTAAGATCTTTCAATATTTTTGGATAAACAAAGGACCTCATCTCTGCTAAATTACTAATACCCATATATGCAAATAATATTTTTTTTTTGGTTTCATTATTTACTAATATACCTCTTATCTCCAACATATCATCAATATATTCAATGTGTTCAGCAAAATTGTTTTGCTTGTCAAAGTTATCAAATTTAATCATAATGTTATCATTTTTTTCTTCTTTATTCATAATTATTTTATTTTTGTCTTCTTTGTTCATAATAAGATCATCGACAACGTCACCAATATACTAATTAGTCTTAAATAAGCATACACAAATATGGATGGCTTTATTAACTGAAAATCACCTGATATTTACAACTGATATATATATTAATATGATTGATTTGTATGTATGACATTTATAACATTGATAATATATAATATAAATCTCATTTATAACAATACTAAAACACGAAAAATTAAATTAAATACTAAAACGCAAAAAAAAATAAATAAATTGGAAAACGTAAAATAAAAATAAAAAATAAAAGCGCTAAAAATATTATCTAACAATCTTGTTGAATTATCATCCTTTTATTATTTTAACATCCAAATTTGATCGATTCTCTGATTATTAATATATTCCAACATCCTATTTGATAATAATAATTTTACAACTGATGATAATAACAATCTTGAAAATTGATAATGATAACGATTGAGCTTGACGACTAGCCAGCGTACTCGAAACGTTATTAACAAACCAACATGGAATCAAGCCAACGACTACAATGACTTATGAACGATTTGAACAATCAAAATGAACAACCATTTGAACGACATATTTTCTATGACAGCTCAGATGGATTATGGGAAGATTTTTCAGAAGAAGGGGAATGTTAATCGAGATTGATTTTTTAAATTTGTTTAACTTAAATTGCTATTATTTTAAACATGTTAGCCTGTAACCATGTATTTCGTTTAAATTGTTTTTTTATAATACATATATATATATCTATATATATATACCCTATTTTATATTTATTTTTAGTATCATTTTAATTTTAGATATATTTATAATAAATAAAACATTTTTTCTTGTCCATACAACACTACCTTATTGATATATAATAGTAAGTATTGAATTAGTTCCTTCAATATAGGATTACTGTAAATAATTATCAAATTTGGGCTATGGTAATGTTAATTCATCTGATTTTGAATCATATGATGATGTAATAATAATATCCATGCTTAAGCTAATCTATTAAATTAAAATATAAACAATAATATTCAAATTAATAAACTATAATAATAGCATGTCACTAAAAGAAAACTGATTATAAAATATAAAACTTTTTTCTAAAAAATCAGATTAATATAAAATTTTTCAAATAAATAAAATAAAAAGGATTTTTAAAATTGAACGAACGTTAAATTCAAACGCGTTCGTCATAAAAAGGAACGCGTTCACGTTAAATTTCGTCCAAAATAAAAGGAACGCCGTTCATCATTTTTTCAAAAACTTCGTTCACGAACGCGTTCAATTAAAATGTATTTTTAAATGCAAATCAATTATTTGCGAAATATCAGTTAAATGCGAAAAATTTAAAGTCTCATTTATATGTTAATAACCCTATTTTTATCAGATAATTGCCAAGCGATGATTTTTGAATCGGAAATTAGCATAATAATTAAAAAATTAACTTTGAATTTACATCAATCCCTTGAATTTTTAATATTTTTCTTTACAATTGGGTCTAGACGTTTAATTATCACGTATCACCTAATTATTGATTTATGCTTAAATTATTAATATTTGATCGAATTTGGGGCATGAAGAATGTTTTAAAGTGATTTGTTGCACGATAATATTGTTATTAAAGCATTATATTAATACAATAAAAACAACTGAAACATACAATAAGTTTATTGGTAAACAAAATTAATTCACCGCTTATATACAAAATAAAAATAATATAATTAAAATTATATATTTAATTTAGATTGTTTTCGATGGTTAAAAAAAATTTAATTTAGAATGACCTTTCGAAATAAATCCCTTTTCTCTTAATTAAATTCTCATTATATTCATTAAAATATATAACATATTTATAAATTATATCGGACCTATTTAATTTATTATAGTTCCTTTAAGCAAGAGCAATTTATCTTTAAAACCAGTTGTTTAAAACATAGCAGTGTATGACTCCTCAAATTCATATTTCAACAAATGTCAAGCACAGGCATCATGCATTGGAATGAAGCATAACACGACATGTCCTTATCAGATTATTATCATCAATGGCCGGCATTGTAAGAATCTTAAAATATCATGAACCTCTAAAACGATATATTTTAAATGGAAATTATAAAAGCTGTCTAAATATTCTGAAAGAATTTACCGAAAATAAATTGGCGGATTTATAATTAGGCATGATTTTACATTTAGAAATCTACATGCTGTTATTATGCATTGCAATCACAGATATCTTTGTCAACCCATTGTCCACCTTTTCAAGCCGATAAAAATTCTTGATTTTTTCAAATTTTATTTATTTTAGTCTAACTAAGAAATCATAAAAAAATTGGTACAAAAAAATCAACCTAAATAGGAAATCTGAATTGTTGCGTATCGCAAAGTTGACCATTAGAGTCTTAAAAATAATATAAAATTATATTATTGCAAAAAATCGAAGTACGATAGATAATTTCAAAATTTATTTACATATTTTACATTTATAAGACAATTTTGTATATTTTATGAAATTTTTAACATTCAATATGTATTGATATTTGACATATGTTACATATATATCTTGTCTGAATGACAAAGCTTACAACGTCGCCTTTTGTTATCGATAATAGTTGTAACATAATGGCCATAAGAATAACTAGGATGGACTCTACTTATACTCATTCTATTATTTACCAGAGGAGTTTTCAAAAGTGTCAGTTATTTTCCGCTAAAATGTTGGTAATGATTTTATATCATCAGGATTCATTCGATTCTATTACTTAATGAATTTATTTCTGCTAATAAATAAAATTGCTTAGGCCACCACCATTTATTACCTCTTTATTCTATATGTTGACAGTAGGTTATATCAATACTATTCATATGGGAATTATAGGAATTTATTATTAGACTGTGTATTTTTTATTTTTGAGAAAATCTTTAGAGAGAATCTTGATGCGTTGATTATAGGTCTAATAGATAATGGTGCAACTGTCATCATTGAACTATCATTCCATCTAGCAAAAAATATTTCATATATCTTTTCAAATAAGTAACCGTAATAGCTCCTCTCTTTTTTTGCCATAAATTTAATTGTTTCTAGGAGAGAATTTTAAATCTATTTTCTCTTATAGTCCTAGTTGAGAAAAATCCAACATGCTTCAAATATGATGAAAGCCTTAGAGATGTAGAAAAAATTTTTTATATAAGTGTATAGAATGCAATCGACTCCATTTGCCTTTTATTTTTACCTACCTTGATATATATTAAACGCAAATATATATCCATTGGAGGGAGCAAGGATCAATGATTTATTTCCAAATCGAATGGTTGCCTTTGTTAGACATTTTACAGGAATGTCTTCCTTGATACGATATCATTTGCTCATAAATGCATAAATTATCTAAAAATATACCAAATTGTTAAACATTTATTTAGTAAATTTAAATATGGGCGGACTTTATAAAGATTATCTTATTTATAAATAGTTGAGTTATTAGATAAATGTAGATTCCTTTTGATATTGCGAAATGTATGTTATGTCATTGAATTCCTAACGATTATAGTAATATCATCGTCATTGGACCAATATATTTTTTTTTGCAGTAAGGAATGATATTCAGATAGCAAAAGAATTCCTATAAATCTTTTTATCTCTGACTCGTTTATAATAAAATTTGGTCAATTGTTTTGTTTGGAATAATTATATGGTTGATCCACAACAGTGAATACATTTCTTGATCAAAAATTATTTCAAATATTTATATTGGAGTTTTTTGGATAAAATCAAATTGAAATTCGATAATAATTCATTATCATTATCAGTGGGTCTCGATGTGTAAATTGGATCAGTTTTTTTCCATTTTAAATTATTTTGAAAATTTAATTTTCTTTCTTGATTTTTAGATATTGAGGTTTCTGAGACAATATCAATGTCTGCTGGATATTAGATTTCGATCTCTATCTAGATCAGGCGTGTCAGTTAGATCGTTTTCACCGAAATCTTCTTCATTGCTAGCATTAGGAGGTATAATTACAACATCTGTTTTATAAACAGGGATATTATCGAAAAGCATGGATAGGACTTCATTAACTGTTAGAAATTGCTTTGTCATAATATTTTTATATTATTTATAAAAATGGGAAATATAAGATGATAATAAATAATTTTTATATTCAAATGAAAAAATATAATGAGAATAAGAATAAAATTATGAATTTTCTTTTTTTTATAAATAATATAAATATGATCAAAAAATAGTATTTTTGTTTGGTAAGAAATAAACAATATTAAAATATTGTGACAAATTTTTTTATATAATTTTTTAGAAAAATTGTTTTTTTTTGAACCCTTATATAGTCAATGTTCCATGGATGGTACAATAAAAAACATATGATTATAAATCGGAGAATAGATCGAATGATTGGCCAAAATAAAGAGGAATAGGTTAAGGCAACTATAAGAAATAAATTTATGCCAATAATAAATGAATACTTTTTCTACGAAGGGCCTAGAATATTTGGCATATTAATAGTCCAGTCGAATGACATCTAGTGCACTCAAAAATAAATATTTTTTAAAGATGATTTTTTATATTATAGTACAATCTTCGAGCTATAGGAATCATGTGTAATTATTTCAATCAGAAAAATATTTATATGTGAGAAATTAATAAATAACAACAGTTGCAGATATGGTACGTTGACCATTAATAGATCAATAGAGTCACTAGGGGTGGCGTAGGGGCTATAACCCTCTGAAAAATTTGAATAGCCCACTAAAGCGAAAAAAATTTTTCTTACTGGCTTCCTAATATCCCCCTGAACTGTAAATAAATTTTTTGATAACCCCCGAAACGATTTCTTTTATAATTCTATTCAGATGAAGCTTAATTGACTTTTATTATTTAAATTATTTTATAACCCTATTAAATACAATTTATTAATAGAAAATTAACAAATTAAATATTGTAATTAGCCGGTTCAAAATCACTATGCAACTATATTATTCATATTTAAATTTAATTATCCAACCTCTTCCTAAAAATACTTTCAGGGTCCAAATAAGTATAAGAGATTTCTTTATAAAAAGTAAGTAGACATATAGTTGATAACCCTCTATTATATAAAATTGATTATAAAATATTAGATAAAATGCCACTTATTTGAGATATTGTTAATATTTTAATAAATTTTACCAATAAATGCTTTTAATAATAAATATAAGTAACAATTTGTATTCATGTGTAATAATATCAGAAATATACTCGTGGTAAAAATTTAACTCAATACTGTTTTTCAAGGAAGAAAAAAAATACCTTTCCTAAAAATACGTAAAAAAAATAATATCTAATAAGAATACACATCATGGGATGAATAATAAGATGTATTATTTTTAGTGTGAACGCGTTCGTGAACGAAGTTCGTTTTTTTGAAAAAAATGATGAACGGCGTTTCTTTTATTTTTGACGAACTTTGAACGTGAACGCGTTCCCTTTTTATGACGAACGCGTTCGAATTTAACGTTCGTTCAAATTTAAAAATATTTTATTTTTATTTATTTGAAAAATTTAATATTTCCGAATTTTTTAAAAAAATGTATTATTTTTTTTTAAATCGGCTGTGTATTTCCTTTTCACATTTCAATTTTTTTAACACATAGTTTATTAATTTGAATATTATTGTTTATATTTTAATTTAATAGATTAGCATAAGCATGGATATTATTATTAATCCTCATCATCTGATTCTGAAAATCCAAAATCAGATGAATTATCATTACTATGGCCAAATATGATAAATGTTTTACATTAACATCTTATAATGAAGGAACTAATCCAATGCTTACCAAGTGTAAAGTGGCCAAAAAGTATTATATTGTCAAAATCTTCAGGTTCCAATTTAAAACGACATTTGATTTTAATATTAATTATTTGATTTTATATGATATAACTAAGTTAAATCATTAAATTTGAAAAAATAATGCATTTGGGATATTTGACCATAACAATAACGATAGTTATTTTAAATTAAAAAAATTAGTGGCCTCAAATATGGTCAACCATTGATAGACGCCGTATTAAATGGGATTAATAAAAGGTATTAAACCTATTACTCTCAATTAATTACATATATTTTATTTTTTTAAAGATTTGAACATATATATAAGGATCAATATGTTCTTTCTGCAATTATACATCCAGCATTCAAACTTCAATGGCCATGGATAAAACTTCCACAGAACGAACCTATTAAAAATAAACCTATAGCGTCACTGAAAAAAATGCTTTGAAAACCCTAGAGAACTGTTAATTTCGAGATATCCTTTTTTTTATCTAGAGTAGAGAATGGATTGGAGGAGGATAACAATTTTTTGCAAATAACAAAACAATATGTTTTTAATTAATTCTTGTTATATAACAATAACGATGGTAAGAAAAACGGTTTTAAGTTATAATTATTTCTAAAACTAAAAAATGATACTAAAAATAAATATAAGGTATATATATATGTATTATAAAAAAAACAATTTAAACGAAATATATATTTTAAGGCTATAATAACAATTTTAGTTAAATAAAAAAATCAATCAATCAACATTCCCCTTCTTCTGAAAAGCCTTCCCATAATCCATCTGAGCTATCATAGAAAATATGTCGTTCCAATGGTTGTTCATTTTTATTGTTCAAGTCGTTCATAAGTCATTGTAGTCGTTGGTTTGATTCTATCACGTTGGTTTGTTAATATCGTTTTGAGTACGCTGGCTCGTCGTCAAGCTCTGTCGTTATCATTATCAATTTTACAAAATTGTTATTATCACCAATAGTAAAATTATCATTATTAAATAGGATTTCAGAATATATGAATAATTAGAGAATTGATCAAATTTGGATGTTAGAATAATAAGATAAATCAACAAGATTGTTAGATAATATTTTTAGAGTTATTATTTTTTATATGATATTTTTGGCGTTTTTATTTTTATTTTGCGTTTTAGTCTTTAATTTATTTTTACTAGTTTTAGTATTTAATTTATTTTTACATGTTTTAATATACTAAGTTATATAATCTTTTAGATAAACAGAAAAGAATCAATATTATATTATGTATTTTTTTTTATAAAAGAAGATATGTACGTCTGTACATCCATCTCTCTTTTCAGAAATTTAAACTTTATGCCCTTATTTTTTAATTTAAAAAGTATTTTGAAATAATAATTATTCATAAGATTGTTTTTAGTGAAAAATAATTTTTTGAGCCTCAAATTTTTAGAAAAAGATCTCTTCATCACATCCTTGAGTATTATTCTAGGATGAAGACGTTTAGTTTTTATATGACTTCTCTTAGTGATACTTTTAATTGTCTTCAAATTTATAAGACTCAATTTTTTTTTATCGCTTTTAGTAAGAGTTTTTTTTAATTTTAATATTTTCTTTAATCTTTGTTTCATTGTTTTCTTTAATGTTTATTTCTTTTTTTTCTATAATCACGAATATTTTAAATTTTATTATATAATTTATCTCTATTAGTTTATAAGAATCTCTTTCATTTTGAATATTTGGTTCTAATTCAATATTTTTCAATTTTTTGTTACTAAGAGATTTACTATTACAATGATAATTTCTTTTATTATAATGTGTTTCTTTATTATATTTATTGTCCAATTTATTTTTCTTATCATGGGATTCACAGGTATGACATCTAAAGTTAAAATTTCTGTGTCTCTACAATTACAATTTTCATAATATCTAAAATTATTATTGTTGCAATTTTTATAATAATTAATATCATATCTTTTAACAAAGTTTCGTCCAAAGTTGTTTTTAAAATGCTCATTAGATTTATAATCATTATAACTTCTTTTGTTATAATTAATATTTCTATTATTATTATAATAACTTATGTCACTAGTATTATAATTTTTTTTAGACTGAATTTTGTCAATATGAAATCTATAATGATCTGGGAATTGAATTAAATACGACCTATTTACGTAATATTTTTTAATTGTAGCTAAGAATTTATCTTTAGGCAATTTAATTAATTCCCACTTTTGGTCATTATCCCAGAAATCAAAAATACGAAAAATATCAATAGGTAGGTCATCAAGAAATTTAACTGTTAATTCATTATTATGTAAATATTTTCTAAGGTTATCTAAGTATTCATATATGTCCATTATGACTGATTTATATTTAAATTTTTTATTAAATTATTTTATTAAGTTATATTCGAATTTTATAATAACTTTCCTTTTTTTTTTACTTGGATTTCGAATATTTTATAAATCGTCATTGGTTTTACTCTATAGAATTCATAACCTATTGTCTAACTATCATTTTGGTTCTTGTAAGTTCATATACCCAATTTTAGTAATCATGATTTATAACAACTCATATCCATGATAGATTCGTCTAGTTTGATATTAAGTTTAGTAATTCTCCTTCCCAGTTGAATCATCCATGTCATAATTTTGTGTGTGTATCATTTATTGGCATATGCACAATTTATATGAGATTTTTTTATATATCATTGTGAGTTATCATTCCGGGGCACCATGTTATATAACAATAACGATGGTAAGAAAAGCGGTTTTAAGTTATAATAATTTTATTCTAAAACTAAAAAATGATACTAAAGGTATATATATATATGTATTATAAAAAAACAATTTAAACGAAATATATATTTTAAGGCTATAATAACAATTTAAGTTAAATAAAAAAATCAATCAATCAACAATTCTCCACGTTAAAAGAGCTGTTTATTAAGTATAATACCGCAATACCCTTATCTGCCCCTGTAGAGCGCGTTTTTAGTATAGCTAATGCCTATTAGCTGCCAAGTGTTCCTGTCTCTCAGATAAATGTTTTGAAAGCAATTGTTATTAAAATTTAATAAGAAAAATTTTTTATAAATAAAAATATTTTTTATTCGCTATATTATATAATATTTTACTTATAATTATATTATCAAAATAAAACTATATTATTTTTTAACATGGCTAAAATATATTGTATTAAAAACTATAAGTTTATTTATATTAAATTAAATTTAAAATTTATCATAAAATTTTAAACGGTTTTATGAACGCGTTCGTGAACGTGAATGCGTTCCTTTTTTTTTAAACCTGAACATAAACGTGAACGCCCTCGATTTTTGTCAATTAACGTTGAACGCGTTCGATTTTTATAGAAATGTTTACAGCACTACATAAACATATACATTTCTTTTCAATTCCATATAATATCCCATATAATATCATTCCGCCTCATACTCATGATCGTAATCTTCCTGGCTCCAGGCCCCTTTTTAGTTGATCCCGATGCCTTATTCCTTCTCTTCCGTCAGTGAATTTCACTCGACTTAATTTATGTCCAATATTTTCTACGATCACCCCAGATTCCCATCTTCTTGTACCTCCATATATTCTTGCCCACACGGTTTGTCCCACTACAAACTCAGGTTTCTCCACTATCTCCCTCTCCACCTCTTGATGTGGTTTCGGCTATAATAAATCCTATAATATCCTGGTTCGCTACCCTAAAAACTACTCTGCTGGAGATTGCTCTTCCCCCTTTCGACTGTTGTTATGATATGCTACGGCTAACCAAATTTCCCACCTCCATACTTTGATTTTCTTAACCAGCTCTTCACAAGTGCTACCATTCTTTCTGCCTGGCCGTTTGAGCTTGAATGGTATGGAGGCGCTAAAGTGTCTCGCTCCTGTTTCCTCACAAAATAACTTGAACTGACCACTTATGAAGGTCTGACTCCCATCCGAAAATATTATATTAGCTACTCCAAACCGGGCCCAAAGTTTTTTCAACATTTTTATCACGACTTGGGTTGTTAATCCCCTCACTTCTTCGTTTTCTACCCATATGGAAAAGGCATCTAAAACCAGGAGATACATCTTGTTTTCAGTGGTACCGCTTTCGGCCATATGCTTTTCTCGTCTTTACGGGGCATACTGGCCCATGAATTACACATCAAACAACCTCGGCAAATATTTTCAATTTCCTTATTCATGCCAGGCCTCCACACATATTCACACCCCCATTGCGTCATTCGATCAATACCTTGATGTCCCGCATGTATCATAGATAACACTGTGCCTCTCAATTTCATTGGTACTACTCCTCGGTTTCCTCGCACCAGACATTCATCCACTATGGCCAGCTATATTTCTATGGATTTGAAATATTTATCTCCCTCTTTCCACGGTCTCTTTCCCATAAAGCTCCTTTTAATTCTCATTAGTTCGCGATCTTTCAAAGTGATCCTCTTTAGTTCCTCCCAGGTCACGGGACCACCTCTAGCTATCCCTGCTATTTTTCGAATTAATCCCTTTTCCTTCTTTTCATCCACTTTTTCAGATCCTATTTCTCTCACATCTTCTCCAGCCCCACATCGAGACAAAATATCAGGTAAATAGTTTTCCCTTCCCCGCCTATATTTCACCTGCACATCAAAACTGACAACCAGTAATGACCATCTTTGTAAACGAGGAGATAACATTAGCTCCTTATTATCTTTTTGGAAAAGATGGACTAAAGGTTTGTGATCTGTATAGATTATAAATCTGCGTCCCATTAAGTAATCCCGGCACTTGGTCAATCCAAAAATAACTGCCAAGAATTCTTGCTCAATTACTGAAAACCTTGTCTCCGCTGCTTTAAAAATTCTCAAGAAAAACAAAATAGGTCTCTCCAGCTCGTCTATGTAATGTAACAATGCTCCACCCACACCCCTATGAAGCATCCACGGACAATATCACTTCCAAATCGTTATTAAAACATACAAAAATTGGTTCTCTTCCAATTCTACGTTTCAACTCTTCAAAAGCCTCTTCCTACTCATCTTGCCATATAAATTTTTCTCCCTTTTTAAATAATTTATATAACGGTGCCGCTATCTGCGCAAAGCCCTCCACAAAACGGTGATAATAGTTTACCATTCCCAGGAAAGCCTGTACCTCCACTGTGATTTTAAGACCCAAATATATAGCCTCCGACACTCCTAATACACTTTTTTCTGCGCTTGCCCGCAATCCTTTACCCCTGATCCTTTTGAACACCTTCTCCAATCTTCGGTCATGCTATTCAGGAGTTTCTCCCATTACTAATACATCATCTATGTAATAAAATACTCATTCTAGACCTTGAAAACCAGCTGCCATTATATGTTGAAAAATCGGAGCCGACACGCTAAGTCCAAACGGTAATCTATAAAATGCATACAACCCACTTGAAGTAGTGATAGTTAATAACCTTTGTACCTCAGGTTTTACCCGCAATTGTAAATAGGCGTTGGAAAAATCTACCTTTGAAAAGTACATACTACCCTTCAAATTGGCCAATATTTCCTCAATTCGAAGCAACGGATATTTGACCTCCACTACCCACGGGTTTAGCTTGACCCGAAAATCTGCGCATAAACGGAGCTTTCTATTGGCCTTCTTCACCGGTACCAATGGTGTCGCCAATTCGCTATATTCTACAGGACATACTCTGCCTTTTTGCACCCATTGATCCAATTCCTTATCCACTTCATTTCGCCATTCAAACGGTATTCGCCGTAAAGCACAAAATTTTGGCACATGTCCCTCCTTTAATTTGATATCTACCTCGTAATCTCTTAGACATCCCAAACTTTCTTCAAAGATTTCCTTATAATTATCCACCATTTTTCGCACTCCCTCTTGCACTTTGATTATCCCAAATTCCATTTCCTCATTTCCAAATTCCTCGTCTTTTTGCCGTCCTGTCTCTTTCTCCTTCACTACTATTTCTTGATTACATATTCTTTTTGTATTTCCTTATTTCATACCATCATTTTCCGTCCATTCTTTCCGCAGCTGTTTCACCATTCGGAATTTCATCTAGTTTTACTTCTAATTCTTTATTGTCATTTCTTCCTTCTCTTCAATATCTTCTCTTCCTTCTTTTCTCCTAAAGTCGCGTCAATCCCTAAAATTCCCCCCGATATCTTCCCTATAATTCCCTCCGATACCTCCTCTATACCCCCGATATCTCCCCTATACCCCCAATATCTCCCCCCAAAAAGGTCTCAATTCCAGGCAATTTATCTCTATACCAATAATTTATATATTTATTCTCCTCATCCCTTTCAATAGGTAAAAATACACCGCACCAAGCGAATGCACCACAAAAACTACAATCTGGACCTATTCGCGTTATCTAGTCCCATTCTAATACGGTCTCTACATATCGATTAATTATCCATAAATTCAATATCTCCACTCTATTCTCCAACATCACTTTTATTTCTACTCTTCCCATCACGTCTACTTCTGATCCATTCAACTGCCGGATCTTGATGTCTTCGCTTTTAATCATTCCCTCCGACCAAATACTCCGAAATTTCTCATATCCCATCACCGAGACAGCTGCCCCGGTGTCAAATAACATGCATATCATATTTCCATTCAAATTAATCCATACTCTAGTGCAAGGATCATGTACTATTTCCTCATGGATCATATTTATACATTTCGACTTCTCCCTTTTATTTCTATAATTAAATTTTTCCACCCTTTCGAACCACCGTCCCTCGACCTCTGTGATATATTTTTTGCCATCATATAGTCACAAATACTGGCATTCTCTCGCCACATGTCCTTCCTTGCGGCATCGAAAACACATATTATTTAAACTTTTATTCTCCGTAAAATTGGGTATTCTTATATCCTCATTTTTCCCGCTTTCAAGAACTCTTACATTCGGAGCAATTTGAGCCATATCTCTCTGTGGAAAACCGCCCCTTGTATTGAAATTGCTAACATTGCATTCTTCCCTAATGTGACCGAATCGCCCACAACCCGCACAACGTAATTTATCACGTTTTCCCGGTTAATAAGGAGCTATATGTCCATATTTTCCACATTCGAAACATTTCGTTTCTTGGCAGTCTCTTACCATATGGCCCTGTTTTCCACAATTATTACAATTTATATTTTCTCTCCCTCGGGGATTAAAACCTGGTCTTATTTCCATTCGTCTTCCTTGCGAATTTTCTCTTGACCATCTATAAGGCCCCAATTGATTGTTATATCCAGACCCTCTATAACGGTCTCTTCTTTGCCTGTTATCAATCCTATCATTTATATTCAACTCTCCTAAGTTATTATCAGTCCATCCTTTGATTAATTCCTGTACTGGTAACCAGGTTACATTACCCATCACATCCTCTTCCATTATGTCCTTCGATGGTCAATGTTTGGCCTTTAATCCTTACATTCCTACTCCTTCTAATTCTTCTTCCAAAAAATAAACTACATATCCATATTATTAAAATGAGCAGTGCTCCAGAATATTATACTGGATCTCCCAGTATTTTAAGCTTTTCATAACAATTCACAAGAAATTAACTATAACTTTTAAAATAAAAATTTTTATCACTTGGAGAGTTAAGAGATAAGAAATGACTAGGACTGTGAATATTCCTATAAAGCACATATACATCAATATGATGCCTAAAATTTATATCTTTGTATGATATTTTCAACTAAAAACACTTTATTCCGTGTTTACTCTCAACGATAGTTAATGTAAAATTCGTTTTGAATTTCAGCAATTTAACTAATAATTTTAACACTTATAAGTGTTTAATCCGCTATATTTTAATACTTAATATAATATTTATAACACAGTATGATGTAAATTCGCTTCAATTTATTGTAAATCAATTTTTATTCCAAAAATTTATCTAAATTTATTTACAATAGCGTTTTATTCGCTTTAATACTATTTATCTCCAGCGATTTATTCGCTTTAGTTTTTTTTTGTAATAGCGCTTTAAAAATCTTTGCGAATCTCCAGCGTTTTATTAGCTTTATTTTTTTTTGTAACAGCGTTTTACTGGCTTTAAAAATCTCTACAAATCTCCAGCGTTTTATTCGCTTCAATTTTATTTGTACTAGGGCTTTTTTCGCTTTACCAATATTTGCAAATTTCCCAGCGATTTATCGCTTTAATTTAATTTCTACTAGCGCTTTTTTCGCTTTACAAATATTTGCAAATTTCCCGGTGATTTATCGCTTCAATTTTATTTTTACTAGTGCTTTTTTCGCTTTACCAATATTTGCAAATTTCCCAGCGATTTGCCGCTTCAATTTTAGCGCTTTAACACTATTTGTAAATTTCACTGTTCAATTTTATTTGTCTAACACTTTTTCGCTTTACCAATATTTGCAATTTTCACAGCGATTTATCGCTTCAATTTTATTTGTACTAGCGCTTTTTTCGCTTTAACAATATTTGCCAATTTCCCAGCGATTTGCTCAATTTGTTACAGGTCACGGCACCAATTTCTTGGTTTTGACCACTAGAATTTCTCAGTTTTGACCACTAGGTTCTATCAATAATAAATTTCCCACGATTTTTCCTATCACTGGTTCTTAAATTTATTTCTTACCCTTTTTTTTTATTGAATAATTTTTACGCTTATACTTTTTATTAAAATAAAATTAAAATATAAATTAAAAAAAAAATAATATAATGAATTTCTTCTTCTTTTTTTACGAGGTTTTTATAAAAAAAATTTACACTTTGTAAGTGTAAATTGTTTCCCAAAATATTTTAACCTCAGTTGTAAAATAAACATGGGTATCCTCCAAACTGTACAGCCATTTTTAAGGGAAAAATGGGATATCTGATTATAACAAAATTGAACTGTTTCTATAACTCCGTGAAATTAAAAGACTTATTAAGGAGAATGGCCATTTGACGGATATCGTGATAAATCTAAATTACAGATTTTCAGATAATGAAAGTCGTTAGATGAATATTATAAGGCTATATATATGATTTTATAGGTTATGAAACCTGTTCCTATGGCTCTTTCGATTTTAGAATGCTAAAGACTAAAGAGATTTTTTAAATAATTGGGAAGTGTATACTTAATTTTTCCCCAAAGTCTTAAGGCTCATAAATATTTCCTCTATAACTATCTATTTTTACAAACCATTTTATAAATTAATTGTGTTAGAAAGAGAAATTTATTTCTATCAAGCTGGTCTATTAAAATTTTAAAAAAAATCAGAGATTTACCAAGTTCTACATTTGTTTCATGTATAAATTGTGTGACCCAACCCGAAAATTTTTTATGCATGAATTGCTCGGCCTTGCCCATTATATTTTATAAAAAATTTGCCTGGCCCGAGGGCAGGGTTTTACACATCTTAATAAATTATAAAAGTGATGGAGGAATATATGAATATTTTAGCCAAATTTTAAAATAAGTATAGAATGAAGTTTTAAATAATGATGAAATAAGACACGTGGATAATATGACAAAAAACTATAAACACATAAATACAAATAATGACATTTTGAAAATTGTTATTTAAGTGATTTTGGAGTGAGAACGACGGCATCAAGGTCAAAGTCGGAGATGACACTTTGAAATTAACGCAGAAAGCGGTATATAAATAAGATGGCCTAATATATAGGAACTGAATTGAATAAAAAAATCATTGTTTATTGTTTCGAATTATAAAAATATCTTTCAATATATTTTATTAACTCAATCCATCTAGATAGAGAATATTTTATAAAAAAACAGATATAATGTTAGTGTTTTATTTAATGTAAGTTTTATATAAAAGCAATCATATACACTTTTTTTAATATAGTTTATTTCTTTAGGATGTAAGAGCTTTAAATTGCTTGAATACCGAATTTATTCTTTCATCGACATCACTAGTAAAAAGCAGACTTTCCAAAGAATTCATAGTGTCGGGTTTGTTAATTTGGTTGGAAAAATGAAGGAAAATTTGTTGCAATCTTCCAGAGGTATATTTATACCAAGGAGTACTGTAGTTAATGCTTTCGTTGTCGCATTTGACTAGATATTCGCCAAGGACTATAATAAATCTCTTTGGAATTATTAAAAATAAATTTAAAAAAACAAAATATAAAAAAAGAATAAGAAAAATTTCGGGGGTGTCACTAGTCTTTACAGGGAGCTCAAAAATTACTTTTTAAAATTATTTTCAAAATGACCTCTTTTTTAACTAGTATTATCTAAAATTACCTTCTTTTTTAGCCAACCTTATCCAAAATTACCCTTTTTTAAGCTAATATTATCAAAATTGCATCTGGTATAAAAAAAATTCTAAATTTTTCAGGGGCTCGAGCCCCTGCGCTCCCTAGTGACGCTAATGTCTTTTATATTATTTTATATAACGATTCCAAATTAAGCTTATTTTTTAAAAATAATGTATTTTGGATGAACAGATTTTTAATATGGGATTAGTCCGATAGTATATTAATAATGAATTTTTTTTAAATCATGTTATTTATGTTTTTTTTAAATTGCGATAGGTTATTAGCTTTATAGGTAACATTTTTACTCTATATCCTATAGGACATTTTTACATGTTTTTATTAAATATCTGATCTGCTGTTTAAAAATCTGTGTTTGTATTTCTTGTATTTCAAATAGTACCGATTAAAATTATAAAATTTTACTTATGCGATTTTGAATATATTTTTTAAAAAGCAAAAATATTTGAGTTTATCTAAAACTCTGTTAAAATTTAAAAAGGATTCTAATTTAAACAAGAACGTGAAAATTTTTTTAAACTCTTAGAATCGATATTCATAAGTAACAAAAACAAAACACATTTACTTGCAATGAAATCAATAGGAGTCTTTTTTGTTCGTTTTTAAGAGCTTCCATTTTTTCCTCCATTCTTTCAAGGTCTTCGGGTGTTACGTTTTGATTATCATTCTTATTGGAGTCGTCATCAATTACGTCCATGGATATATCATCCTCCTAAATTATAAAATTTTACATAATACTTTAATAAGGGGAAATGAAAATTAACCATTTTTGGCAATAAAAGCAATAATGCTATTATGTGCCGGCTTGTCAATTGGTTATGCCAAAAAGGCCGCCGTTTTTGAAAATCACGCTGGCCGGCGTAAATTTTTTCATATTTTATACATTTTATTCTAATAATTGGTCAACATCACTGTTGTAATTTTTTTAATGTCAATCAGGATTTTGATGAATTCTTATTTTCTACCTATTTTAAAATCATAATTATTTTGACATCATTTAAGAATTCAATCAATCAAAAATTCCAAAAGTTGCCATAATCTTACATATTTTTTTAATGAATGCATCTACATTTAATAAATCTATAAATAATTTTAATATTTTAGAAGTAAAATATAAAATCATTCTTGGAAATTCTTTGGTTTCTTATACTTAAAAAATTGATAATAAAACAATTTCCATAAATTTTGACAAATTTTACTGTAATTGTTGGTTAGAAAAGGCTACTGTAGACGATAATGATTCGAATAAGCCCTTTTCACAGTATATTTTTTCAAATATTATTTTCTCCTAAGCCAAAATCTTTATAAGTTAAAATATAAGTTTTGTAAAATATAATCTAGCTATAATTCAAAACTTTTCAATCAACATTAGTACAGGAAATTTGTTAAAACACTTAAGTGGCAAGATTTAAAAAATATTCTAGATTAAATCCCATACAGATTCTAAAACCTCTAAAAAATGGCTCCTAGCTAGAAAATATGTGTTATTATGTGGTGTTAACGTATTATCCTTCCAATCCATTGATGATATAGGAATGATAGATTTGTTGAAGGTATCAAATTTATAAAAAAATAGATATATTATTTAGAATACTAATTCCCATTTTTATTAAACAAGAACAAGATCTACCTCTGTCTTTTTGATCTATTGAAATAGCTTTGGCTGCTGAGGGAGGTTTACAATAATTTAATTTCGTAGCCATGTCAACAATATGATTCAACATAGACATGAATAATTTTAATAACCTTAGGTGACTTAGAACAAGAATGCCACATTCTTCTTGGAAAACGCCATTCACAAGATATGGATGTTCTAAATTTAAAGAAAAGAAGGGTGAACTTCCTAATCTTTCTATGCTCGCCAAAAAATTCTTTTTATTTAGGCAACTAACAAACCCAGTGAAAGAGTTTATTTCTACCGCTGAGTTGAATTCAAGGAGATTATCATTATGACCCAAAAATTTAGATAAAATTATTTTACACATGATAATTATAAAATTACAAAATCGATTTTGGATATATGCTTAATTTTCTCTCAAATAAAGGATATAAAAAATATGCCGAGATATCTGTAGTGTAGTGTATATTGATTAAATTTTTTTCAATAAAAATTGATAACTGCGCCGATTTATGCCGCTTTTGTTGACGGCGGCTAAAAATTGGTATGCCGCCGATAGTTTCGTCGGCGCTCATGTCTATCTATAATGAACATGAAGGTAATTAAAAATATTTCAGCAATTGCATACATTTATTTATAAATATTATATCCATTAAAGTTTAAAAACAATAATAAATTTTATTTGTAATTCTTTTATATATATATACTTTTATATAATTATCATTAAATTTAACTTCTAATAATATGCAATTTGATTAACCTCGATAATATAATATTAAATGTAGGAAAGTTATAATATTCTATTACAAATATAATATTCAAATTATAACCTTTTAAAATATATAAGATATTAAGATATAACAATAAATTTAACTAACAAAATAATAACCTTTTCAAAATCTCCAGATATCTTGAGCCGTTTTTTGACGTCTAAAATATCTTTCTCGGCATTCTGTACCCTTTTAATGATTCTCCCCAAACAACAATGCACGATTATATTTTCCCAGATATATGATTTAGTAAAATCTTGTGACATTTCGTCCGAAAAAACCCAATTACAAACCATAGCTGGATTAAGTAGCTGTGTCTTGATCATTTTCTCGATAATTATGGTTACGAACTAAAAATGTATTAGAAAATTAGAGAATAAATTCTACAATATACATGATATTTTACATTATATTTATAATCGATTTATATCAAAAACAGATAAATTAAGATAATATATTAAACTCAAAAAAATATTAAAGAATTTGGTTACTTGAGTATTGTTTCTCCAATAGTCATATAAGGACCTAAGTATAACGTATTGATGTTCCTCGAATTCAGATATTTGTTTAAAAATGCTAAAATACCTTTATGAATATATTTTAAAAATTTGGCATTATTTAAAAGCAGACAGGGCATTTTGCATTTCTGTGTTGTAGTAAAAAAAACTGTTCCATTCTTGGAACGGTTCTGAAAAATATATAAAATCAATTATTACAAGATTAATAAATTACCATATAAGGTTGTGATAAGTTATAAACCTGAGTATGAGTGTAGAAATATGCATTTAACACATTTACTAAAAATATACGAACCAATTAAGGGGTGAATCAGTTAAGCTTATTCAAACAATCAGTTGCAATTTAAGTTGATGAAAATAATATTATATTTGCCACGCTATGGCTATCAGAGACCTTCATGGGCCAGGCTAGCCCACATGCCAATATCATATTTTCTAGGGTCTGGGCCGGTGGGTCTTAAAAAAATTTTTTAATGGGCTTGTGCCTAAAACTATTAAATTTAAATTATTTAAAACAGTTGTTAATTTAATGAAATATTGCCTTTTTTTCTTCTAATAATAATAAATTTCAGTATTGTAAACAAAATGATTGCCTAAATATATTTAAATATTGTTAATTTTCATTAAATAAAAAAAAATTAAATTTTTGTATACACGGGCTTGGGAAATCTTTGTGAAACTTATTAAAGGCTGAATTTTTTTTAACATTAAATATGGGCTAGGCCGATCTTAAGCCAATAAATTTTTTACTGCGGGCCTAGGCCGGGCTTGGTCACAAAATGAAGGCTCATGAAGGTCTCTGATGGCTATCCATCCCAAAGTTTTTATAATACCTTTATATAGAAATAGGTGCCATTCCAATTCTATTGTTTTTTTAATATAATCTTTTTATTTATATTTTAAATATACGTTTTGATTAATTGCTAAATTTTATTATTATTATGATTTTATAAGGTGCTTAATCCTGAAAATTATTCATAAATTACTATAAAAATTATTTTAGAATAATGTTAAAATTATCAAAAATCTATATTTATTTCTTATAAGTTTTATAAATATATTCAATATTTGGTCCATATTAAGATTAATTCAAAGATACAGTTTATAAATATTAATTTATGTAATAAAATAATAAATCATTTTTAATATTAAAATTTAATTTTTAATTATAAATTTTATATACAGAATGTAATAATTATCATAAATTGGCAAATATTGATAACATTATAAATACTTTTTAGCTAATTTAATATTAGTTAATTTAACAATGGTTTATTTATAAATTTCACAGAAAAACAGATGTAATGTAAATAATTCTGCCGTATGAAATTCCCCAGGGCATATTTTTTAAAATTGTTTTTATTTTATTATATTAATATAAAATATGTATGTGTAAAAATGTTAAATTAATTTTGTAAAAATTTAATTTGAATCAAAAATCTGATTTAATCAATAATTTATTTTTTTAAAAAATCATGATTTTGCCGACCCTACATAGAAGTAAAAAGAAACTTTTAGATATTATAATATATTTAGATGCTATAATTTAAATATAAGAAGATTAATAAATCATCTGCATATTTTTCTATTTTTAATTGTCAATAATTAATGCCACTAGGTGGGGGGGGGTGAAGTGCTTTCGGGAGTTGCCTTATCAAAATTTCGAATATACAAATTTGAAGCAAATATAAATATATATTAATTTTTAAAGATTTTTCGGGCCTAGGCAAATTGAAAAGTCTAGTGATACTCTTAAATTAATATAACGAACATTAAATATCATTTTTCTAATTTTCCCTAACTGTATACATACAAATTCTACTTTCCTTCACATTAATTTACCCAAAGGTTCAGTTTCAGTTGGTTGATGATACTAATTTATATTAAAATATATTAACTAAGACAACGAAGAAAGAAAATATAAAGGAAAGTTCTGTATGAAATAGGGCAGTGCCGATCCACATATTTTTCACTGATCCGATCCGATATTGCTTCAAAACCGATCCGATATTTATACTGATTTTTCACCATTCCCTATTGAACCAAATGTAATTAAGAAATCATTATTTTTTATGCAAAAAATAATTATGCATTTAATTTAATTTTTTTATTTCTACAAGACTTATTAAATAAAAATATATTTAATAATATATCCATTTTATGTTGGTATGAATTATAAAATTGTAATATTTATTAAATTTTTTTAATAAATATGAGAGCCTCACGATTTTCTAGCATTTTGCAAAATTATCTTTGTCTTTTGTAAAATATTTCCATAATTCAGATATCATATTTAAAAAAATTCTTTTATTAAAGTATAAATAATAAAATTGGCGTTATTATTGGTGTTCCTTTCTATTTTTATAAAAAAACTTTTATAATACTATAAATTTATTTTTAAAAAGTAATAAAACTTAGAGGGTGTTTGTTGTGTATTTGCATTGTTTAAAAAAAAATTATTTAGAAAATATAATAATGTAAAATAAATATACATACATAAAAAAACAAAAAAAAGAAAAGTAAAAAAATCAGATTGTTTTTACAGGTATCGGCCCGATCGATATTTTGGAAAACGCTAAATATCGGTGCCGACCCGATCCGATATTTAATATAGGCACAGCCCTAGTATGAAATAAATTTATTTTTTAAAAAAAACTACAATAAAATTAGGGGTGTAACGATACCACTTTTTGAAGGCCGATCCGATATTCCCGATATTAAATTGATATCGGCCGATTACCGATCCGATATCATATCTAATTTTGTATTCTGTAAAGATACCAATTTTTTAATATACTTTTTATTAGTATAACATTTATAATTTAACTATACCATAACATATGTCATTTAAATATATTATAATGATCAGTTATAGTTTATATTCAATTCAATTCTAAAAGTATATAAAATATTTTTATAACATTAATCTATTTACATAATAAGTAATAAACAAAAATATTATGAAATTTGAAATAAAAATTTAAAATTAATATATCGAAGATTTCTTTTTAGAAATATCAAATTTATCAGAGATCAGTCTAAGGTGATGGAGACTGTCAATATCACTAGCTTAACTAAAAACAGATCCTGAAAAGATTATTGCATACATTTATAAACAGAATGCGAATAAAAATAACAATAAGGCAGAATTTTATTAACTAATTATTACTATTAAAAAAAATTAAAACATAAAGATGGATTTCGATTTTATATTTTATTTTTAGTAAAAACGCCATTTTTTATCGGATCGGAATTTTTTTAATAATTGTCGATAATCGATATTTTAAAATGGGTGAAATATCGGCCCGATCCAATCCGATATAAAATATCGTTACATCCCTAATAAGGATTATAAAAAATAAATAATTCTAAAAGGAGAGCAATTCCAAAAATAAAATTACTACTAGAAATGGATTTCAAATTGACCGCCATTGAGTAAAAAAAATAACAATTTTTTAAAGAAGTAATAAAAGAATGTCAAAATAAAAACTTTGCTATAGCACTGAAGGAATGACTGAAGGACTTATTCCCGTGATGTAGGATAGTTTCCGTAAAAACAGCGATTTTAAGAGCCGTGTATTTGCCAAATATTGCTTTATCGTGATCTTTAAAAGAAATGAATTTTTATTCATTCTTAAAATAACAATATTCTAAATATACACCTTTTTCTATCTCTTTCTATATTTTTCTTCCTTTATTTTATCTAATCATGAAAATATTATTAAATCCAAAACCTTCTTGTTCATAATTCACTTCCATGGCAAGTTTTTCCAAAAATGTCGTATTATCACTTTGTGAAAGCATGGCACTAATGGTCTCGTCCGTAAATTGAGTTGACTGCAAAACATTTATGATATTATTAAAATCTTCTTTGCGTTTAAAGGCCTGCATCAAGGATTTAGCCAAGATTTGAGTAGGGTTCAGGGAGATTTCTTCATCTTTAATCAATTTCATAAAAACTAAATTAAGAAAAAAAATTTAGTCGACCTTTATATTCTACTCGAAACATACGATTTTACTTTAATCTTAAAAATGCTTAAAATCCTAAATTAAGTTAACTTGCCTATTCATTTGTAGAAAAATTTTAAATCAAGTCTCATTTGACATCTTTTAAAGTGAAGATCAAAAGATGTATAGCGTTCAAGATTTAAAAAAAGGATAGAAAATTACTTTGAACGTCGGTCTTGGCGTCGCTAGCTCCCTCAAAATAAAACCTAAACAAGTGTTCATTACGTAGTGGTAACAAGACTTTAAAACTTTCTGGCACAATTTCAGCTATTCTTTGGTAGTAAGATAGCCTTCGAGGGTTAGAAAAGAATGAGGTAAAAATTAAGTGTTAAAATAAAAGTTAACCTGATGCATTTTGTCAAGGTTTCATTAATAAATTTAGGTTGAGACATTTCAAAATCCTGTTCCAAACAGGTCTCCCAGTCCTCCCAACTCCATTTAAACTGAAAGTTACTGAGGTGGTGAGAAAACCAAGTTATAAAGCTATCATTATTCATAAAAAATATATGTAATTATTATGCGTAAATATAAATATAGTATATATTAAACATTCTAAAAAATAGGCAAACTTCGTTTATCAAGTTGCTGCCTGAAAATAATTATGTTTTTCATGCAATAAAATATCTTTCTACCTTCTTTTGGCCCAACATTTTAAATATTATATTAAATGATTTGGAAAAAATTGAAGTTAAATTTTAAAAATAGTAAAATATAAATTCAAGCTATAATCCCAGACTAGAGAAGTGGAAGATGTAGTGGGCCTGGATCCCTATTTGAATCAGGGTGTTCATAATTAATAATTATATTAACTCATTGTTAAAGATACACTACACTAATAAATTTAAATATATTTTTATTCAATTAAATTTACATTCAGCCCTTTCCAAACAATATATATTCTAAGACGATTTCCCAAGCAGCAATTTTTCTTATTTCCAAACAAAATACAATAAATTGCTTGCATAATATAGGAACAAAATTCACAAGTTTAAAAAAAATATATATTATTATGCAAAAAACTGATTTAAAATTAATTAGACTGTTTGGAAATAAAATAAATTACTTGAAACGTGTCCAGAAAATAGTTTTGTTTAAAATGACCTTCCATGCCTAACCCTGCATTCACAGTTAGAGTGAATTTGTGGTGCAGTATATAAAATATGATATAAATATAATAATTCCAGAAAATAGTTTTATTTATATACTTCGCCACAAATTCACGCTAACTATGAGAGTAAAAGAATTAAATATTTCTAGTACTAGCGATAAAAAAATGGATCTGGTATATATATAAAGAAGTAATACAATTGATAGTTTTATCAGTCATAGTTCCTAGAACAAGAAGAACTTAATCGCTATAAAGAAAATAATATTAACTTCTTTTTATTTAATTTATGATTTTTTAAATGGAAAATCTCAAATTTATATTTTCACTCATATTAACTAATTTTTCCTTTACATAATCTTAATTTTCTTCATATTAAAATTTATCTTGGACCCTTATACTTTGGCCCATCTCAATCTCTTATTTTCCCTATTTACTTGATCTCAATATTCCTGTCAATATAAAATTTATCTTGGCCAAAAGATCTAATTCTTTCTAAAAAAATCGTACTCCTATAAAGTTAATTTAAATCTAGTTAGTAATTAACCAAGACAAACTCAAACATCTATCTCTAATTGACTCAAATCTAGATATTTAGTTGCAGCATTAGTTCGACTGAGTTATAGTAATTAAAATACTACAAGCAGTGAGTCCAATAAATTTACTGATCATTAATACCTTATCGGGAATAATATAATAAAAATAAATGTATTCAATATTATAAAACATAACAAACCGATCGGTGGGCACAATATGCATGTAATCTAGCCTTTCAAACAGTAATTCGGTCGCTTGGGCAAGCTAAAAAAATATTTAAATTACGGTAGATAGTAGAACCTTTTCAAAAATGAATACAAATCAAATAATTATTTGTATTCGATTCTTAGTATAAGTCAGAGATGTGTAGGCCCAGCCCGTTTTTTAATTTTTTATTATACCTGGGCTGGGCCTAAAAAAATTATTTAAACACCCGGACCAGGCCTAAAACATTTTAGAAAAATACCAGGGAACTGTATAATTTAAACCAAAATTTTAAAAGACCATTATTAGATATAAAAATTAAAAATAAATATATTTTTAAAAAATCCGAGCCAGGCCTTAAAATATAAAACCCAGGCCTGACTAATAAAATATTTTTAAGAAAAATTAGGGCCCGGCTGTGCAAATGGTACCTAAGCAGGTCTTTGGTATTCGTATTTGCATGAATAGTAAATTATACTATTCTTATCTGGCATAATTACAAATAGTAAATTTTTAATTAATTCAAAATAATCGAATATGAATAATTCATTATTCAATTCGTTTTTTTATATGCCTAATAGATATAGATATTTAACCCTTGTACAGACAGGTCTAAACTGCATTGACAATTTCAGGCCGGTATTGTTCAAGACCGATTAAGGGTTCTAATAAGTATGTATAGGAAAAAATGTGAAACCTAGATATAAGTGAAAACAATTAATTTGTGCAGGTGGAAAAGTGTGATTGAAAAATTAATCAAGAAATTGAATTCTAAATAATTTTTTATTTGTTGTTTTAAAATGATGTTCTGAGTGAAAATATAAAAATTAAATTGCTTTGGAATATTAGATATTCAAAAAATAGTATTCATACAGACATAGATACGTTTCAACTTTTAAAAAATATATTTATAATTTTTATACCTTTTATTAAATAAAATAAAAACATCCAATTTATTAATATATTACCACAGGGGGTAAAGAGCTTGGCTGTAATTTGCATAGTTCTATAAACAAGGCAGCATACATAGCTTGGATGTGACGGGGGGAAGGTAGGTTGAATAATTCGGCAAATAAGCACTTTTTAAAATTGTATTTTATAGACAATTATAAAAAAAAATATTATATAATTGTGATCATAAGTGAAGCAATTGAGCTTTGAAGTTATATGCAGTATAAAAGAGATGCTAAGTGCCATCTCGTTTTTTTTTCTAAAATTTATCATAGTAGTCTGAAGCTAATTTCTTTTATTACGGTAAATATACAATATCATAAATTTAAGCACCCCTTCTAGTTGTAGGAATTTATTTTCATGAACACTACATATAGAAGGTTTGTGCCAAGGTGAATGTTTGGAAATGAAGGTGAGTGCTAGGTGTGAATTTGATAAGGCACTGACGTTATGCCAAGCATCAGGTATAAATGACAAGCTGCGAAGAAAGCCTGGTTGAAGGCAACTGAGGATATCTGCAAATGGACTAGACCTCTAGTCACAAAAGGACATAATGGTCAGCAGTTAAGGCTGTGCACGAGAAAGGGATGTGTTACAAAAGATGGTATGAAAGAAAAGCGGATAGTGATAAAGATGTACAAGGAGGCAAAGAACAGGGGTACGCAAAAAATGGTAGTGCATGTAAGGAAGGAGAAATACGTTTTGGATTAAAAAACAGAGGGTGAAAAGCAGGATTTGGTAGGCGCAAAGTGTCTGAAAAATATTGAAGAAAAAATTATGATAGTAATGAAACTAAATGTCTGGAAGAAAACGGAAAACTATTGAACAAAATAAATGAAGTTAGTTGGGCAAAGGTAGAAGGACCTAATTAAAGGCATGAATAAAAAGAAATTAAGTATTGAAAAAGTTGAAAGCAGCAGATTCAATAAGAGTGGTAACAAAGGGGTTCTGAAGACTGATGAGATGGCTTACGAATTTAAGCAATCTAAAAGTTATACAAGGAACTACCGAGAATTAGAGAAGTGTAATTAACACGATATACAAAGGAAAAGATGATCCATTATATCGCGGGCCATAGGTATTTGAGTGTTAGAAAAATGGGTGGATAAAGGAACAAACGAAAATCGATTGACGTTTAGCGCACCTGGTACTCCAACAGGTGCAATTTGTGTGAACGAGTGGAAATAAACTATATTATGTGTTTGATATGGTATAAAATGAGGTCACTAAATGGGTCTTGAAAAAATAACGTGGTAGAATGGCTGGTTACTGGCGTGATGATCTGTGTAGGAGCACAAATGTGCTTAAAGGATGATGGAGATAGTGAATGCTTTGAGTAGATGTAGGACTACATCAAGGATCCAAGTCTGTTACTATTTATCATGGTAATGGATATAATAGCTAGAGATAAGAGAAGAATTCCTCAGAAGATTTTATATGCTAATGGCAAACAGCGAGGCAGAAGTTATAAAATTCTTGGATGGCTATGGACACAAAGGGCTTAAAAATGGATGTATAAAAAACAAAGGTAATGATTAATGGGAAACTTTATAGAACGAATCAAGTTGCTGACCTTGTGGAAAAGAAGTTACTAGAAACTCAATTCAATATGCCAACTGCCAAAAATGTAAACATAAAAGATGTGGAGATAAAGTTAGTCTGAAAATAGCTAACTTTCCATTTATCTGTAGTACATGTGTGAAAGGGGTCCATGTTTATAACGTAGATAAGGTGTAGACTGAAGTTCGGCATGAGATTTACTTTGGAAATTTTTGTTATTTTGGTCATATGCTTAAAGCTTATGGAGGTGTTGATGCAAGTATCAGATATGTATTTGAGAAATTTAGAAAAATATCAACTATTTTAACAAATAGACTCTCTATGACGTCAAAGGTTTACATAATTTGTGTGAAAAGACATAGTCTATGGTGGCATAACATGAGCCATGAAAATGGCACAAGAAGCCAAACTGGGAAAAAGCAGACAAGAATGGTTAGATGGATGTGTGGGATATTGAAAGAAAAAACAACCAAAGAAATGTGAGAAATGATTGTATAGAAGTGATTAGAGTGGTGATGAGAAGAAATAGACTGAGGTGGTTTAGTGATATTGAAGGAAAGATAATTGGGTGAAGAGATGCACCTTGATGGAAGTTGGGGGATCAGGACCTTGAGGACACAAGATTAGTAAAGGTAATAACAGATGATATGAGAAACGAATCTTACTGAAGAAAGAGGATTAGAGGACAAACTGACTTACCTGGGTAAACCTAAAAAACCAACATTAAATGAAGATAATCCTTCTTGTGTGTCCAGAGAATATATGTAGTTTTTAACTATTTTAAAGAAATTCTGCTTAGCTTTGATAAAAACATCAATTGAGCCGATTATTAAAAAACGGTGAAATCAAGATTTTACCCAACAAATATTAACTAAGCCTCCCGGTTTCGCTAAATGATGGTAGAAAGGTGTGGCCCACTTTTGGCAAAATCTTGAGGAGGTAATTTTTTTGTAAAAATCTTGATTTAAACATTTTTTAAAAAATCTAGTAAATCTAGATTTTTAACATTATATCCAACTTCTTAAACAAAATAACATATATTGCCTGAGAACAAAAAAGTTATTATAATTTGCATATTAAGGGAAACATGTATGATCTAATCTATTAAAATATTTGCCAAAAAATTTAAAATAAATAGTACTTCAATGATCATGTAGTTTAAAGGGATCTTGTTTTTCATTCGATAACTGAGTAATTGTGCCGCACTGATTAAAATTGTTTTTGATTTTAAAAGATATGCATGTATTAAAAATGAATCTTAAATTTGAATAATAAAAACAAATAAAATTTGCATATTAGTGGTTGGTGTGCGCTATGGGAAAAATTTATTAGCAAAATTATTTTATAGATAGAAAAAAAATAATTATGGGTCTGGCCAAAAAACCTTTTAAGTAATTTATACAAGCCAGTTTGTGCTGGCGGATTTCCATACATATTAGTTAGCTAATTTCTAATTATAATTTAGTGCTAAAATTAGTATTTTATCCTACCTTTATAAAAAAATCCCAAACATATATAAGCACATGTTGGTATATACCATTGTTTTCTATCTTTAAAATTAGCCTTAATGATGGAATGCATATCTCTTGCTATCAACCATTTGTCTATTGAATTGACTTTGGGCCAATTGTACCCCTGAGTGAAGAATATGAAAAGATATATAAAATTTATATATAATACTGAATCATCATTCCATAAAATGGTGATAATAAATTTTGATAAATTAATCAAGTATAAGTGATAAATACAATAAATAAATATATAATACAAAAAGACAGACAACATGTAGTTTGGTTAAATTAGTTTATTAGTTGTCCCTTATTTGATAAGTCAAAAAAGGTACATGTCATCTTCACCACTGCATTTTTTTCAAAATACGTTTTTTTGAATTAATGGGTTAATCTAAAAGTCAGCTATCATCTAAAAAATTGTGTAATAACCAATAAAAATCAGTTTTGCTATCAAATAATATAACCACATATTTAAACCAAAAAATAAACAAGTCATCAAAACCTAGTAACTGTTCATTTCAAAACTTATTTTATATTTTTTTGAAATTTTAATCAAATTTTACATAATCAAAATGTCGTAAGATCTTTTTTAAAAATAAAACCAAATTATTGTATTACATAACGGAAGATGTAACCTGAGGTATTGTTTTGTTAAAAAAAATTATTTTTGCTATCAGAAGACTTGAAATTTTTATATTGATGATATAATTTATACATTCACTTATCTAATACCCATTTTATATTATAAATTTTAGAACAGATTTGCTAATAATCTGCATATCTTAGAATGCAATTAATCCTATGGATATTGATGTAAATAATAAAAATGAAACAGGGGTAGGACAAGAAAATTACCAAAACTCAATTTTTGAAGAATTTGACCGAATGGATTGGAATTTATGGAAAATTTTCGTGAATTCCCTTGATAATTATAATTTAATCTAACATAAGAAAGTAGGCGTAAAGCCACCTGGATCATTATTTAAAGAAGAATTAAGGGGATTTTATGTATAATCATTTTTTTATCTTCACATCTTTCTTTCAATTTCCTTCCTGGACTTCCATTTTATTTATATTTTATTATGTAAATTTATATAATAGAAAAACTTTGTTTACTTTATAACAATTTTATCAAGTAATTATTTTGTAGTGTAAATAATATATTTTATTATAAACAATATCAAGGCTATGATTTTTTTGGGAAGTAAATTTAAATTAATCAAAAGTGTCAGTGTTTTGCAAATATATCTTTTTATTATAAGTTATCAAATATATTCTCATCATCAAATCAAAAAAATAGTTATTTTATTTTTAAATTGCAAATCTTAGTTTTTTTTAAAAATTTATTAAACTAACTTATAAATTTTGTTTATATATTTTTTAGTAAATAAATAAAAGATATTTTGTTAGAGTATTATAATGTAACTAAAGGGGATTCTGAGTGCAAAACCTGCCACATAATAAAAGATTCACACACCTGGAAAAATATTTAAGAAGACATCATTCTATAATCTTTGAGGAATACATAAATATAAAAATCAATTTTTGGAAGAAGACACTGTTACAAAGTCTACTGTCAGTATTGTAAAGAAGGATGAAAATAATAATGAAAAATTTTGATTTAATAAAGCATTCATATTGTAATGCCTGAAGAGAATTTGATGAATGCTTTAGTTGAGTTAGTTACAATAAATGGAAGACCTTTCAATATTATTGAGGATTCTGGTTTAAAAATTTTTATTAATCCTAATAGTAAGGCAATTGGAATTTGAGATCTGCAAAAGTAGACCCAGAATGAAACTATTTGTTTTAAAAAAAATCGGGTTCGGGCTGTGTTGAACTTAATATTTTTTAGAAAATTCGGGCCTGATGGGTCGGGCTTTAGATTTTTTTTTAAATATATTTAAATTTATCAATTTTATGTTGAATTTTTTATGTAAAATAAAAATATTTGATTTTATTTATAAAAACTAGACGCCATATAACATATATCGCTTATTTTGAGTAATTATAATTAATTTCTATATTTAAATAAATTTGGGCAAGGCAGGTAAATTTTTTTTAAAAAAATCCGGATTCGGGCTGGGCTGGACAAAACTTTTTTTTTAATTTCGGGCCAGGCCAGGCTTGAAAAATTAGGCCCAATGCTAATTAGAATATCAATATACAGTTTTAAAATTAAAGACCTATAAGTTAATTAATCGAAAAAAATACAAGCAAAATAATAAAAGAAACAAACAATAAATTAATTTCATTAAAAATTGATTCCGTAAAAATATTAGGGAGAAATATTCTAGGAATAAATATACAGTTTATAAAATGAAATTATATAATTTGAGAAATGTAGCTATGAAGGAGATTGAAGAAAGTTAGTGTTGTTAAAACGCCGCGATTCGCGACCCCGACCCAAAGCTCGGGTCGTTTTATTCGACTCCGACTCAATGTTTGGGTCGTTTTTTTCGACTTCGACCCGAGTTCAAGCCGAAAAAAACGACTTCAACCCAAAATATGGGTCGTTTTTTCGACTTCGACCCAAGTCCAAGCCGAAAAAAACGACCTCGACCCAAAATATGGGTCGTTTTTTACGACTCCGACTCAAAATTTGGGTTGTATTTTTCGACTCAAACTTGAAGTTTGGGTCGTATTTTTCGACTCCAACTTGAAGTTTAGATCGTATTTTTCAACTCCAACTTAAAGTTTGGGTCGTTTTTCTGACTCAGACTCAAACATCGGGTCGTTTTATTCAATCCGACCCAAAATATGGATCGTTTTTTTTAAAGACGCCTTAAAGTTAGGGTTGCTTTTTTTCACCTAACCAAATATCTAGATCATTTTTTTCGACCAAAAGTCAAATAACATTTAGTAGATATTAATATTATAGGCGGGAAAGTTTCTTAAAGCTTATTTAAATTATAACTCTCTGGATTAACTATTCCATCAAAGTTATTTTTTAAAATTTTTAAGTAAAGATGTACCATAGAAAAGAGCCATTTGTTATGATGGTTATTTTTGAACTTTTTTAAATGAAATAGATAAAAATATATATTGTAGACATGTTAAATCAAAATTTCAGTGAAGATGTACCATAGATAGGTGACAATTGTCATAATCGCTATTTTTGAACTTTTTCAAATTTTTTTAAAGGAAATAGCTAAAAATATATTTTCTAAACATCTTAAATTTAAAATTCAGTGAGGATGTATCATAGATAGGTGACAATTGTCATAATCGTTATTTTTGAACTTTTTTCAATTTTTTTAAAGGAAATAGCTAAAAATATATATTCTAAACATGTTAAATTTAAAATTCAGTGAGGATGTATCATAGATAGGTGACAATTGTCATAATCGCTATTTTTGAACTTTTTCAAATTTTTTTAAAGGAAATAACTAAAAATATATATTCTAAACATGTTAAATTAAAAATTCAGTGAGGATGTATCATAGATAGGTGACAATTGTCATAATCTTTATTTTTGAACTTTTTTCAATTTTTTTAAAGGAAATAGCTAAAAATATATATTCTAAACATGTTAAATTAAAAATTCAGTGAGGATGTATCATAGATAGGTGACAATTGTCATAATCGCTATTTTTGAACTTTTTCAAATTTTTTTAAAGGAAATAGCTAAAAAAATATATCCTAAACATGTTAAATTAAAATATCAGTGAGGATGTATCATAAATAAGGGACAAAAAATGGTTATTATATATACGAGTAGTTAGGTACATAATAATTTTTAAGTGATAAAATGAGATGCTAATATATTTCTTGTAATTTTAATTTATAATAAAATTCTTAAATATGTTATTGTCATAGACTGGGTTAGAAAATCAACTATCACATAAACTCCTATGTTTTATTCATATTATATTTTTAAGTTTGAGGATATTAAAATATTTCCTCTTTGAAGTTACTAGTTAGGATAAAATTTACTTGGCACATCTTACAATGATATTTATACCTTGTTTTTTTTTTCGAGAATAAATTTTATGCGATATCTCATGAAGGAAATTACATATCGTTGTACAGAGAATTAACTTTGTATATATTATCTTCACCCATTTCTTTTATATCAATCTCTATCGATGACATTTTAAATTATATTGGAAACTAGATTGTGTAGATTTCTAAATATTAATTTTTAATAAGATGCTAGAATTAATTATAGATATATCTTAATAATTTGTATATGCATTTATTATTTAAAATCTCTCGTTTTAACCCTATTTAGCAAGAAAAATATTGACTAATCCTGAAAATTGGACAACTTTTATTAATAAAATTTATGTTACTCTTTAAAATTAAATTATAATTTTAAAAACAAAAAATGAATAAAAAAAAATTAAAATTTAATTTGGCTACCCTCAAAAATAATAAAAAAATTTGGAAAGTTAAAAAAAATGATTATTAATCATATCCCTATCCCTAACAATGAAGAAAAGAAAAAATCTCAACAAATTTGCCGTCTAGCTGGCACCACGCCAAGTAAAATAAAATATCTTTTTTAATTTTAGAATTTAAATAGTCACTTCACTTCCATATGGAATTTATAAACTAATAAAACAATAAAAATTTTTTATAAGTATTTGCGATTCCGGATGCATTTTTTTAATATAAAATATGAATTTTTTTAAATATAATTTAGTAATTTTGGAGAGCCATATTTTTCAAAAATGTAGTGTTAAGTCGAGTTTTTTTAAGTCGTACTGTAATTCTTAGCGTTTTTCGTACTTTTGCATGATGGCTAAAGATTTTTTGTCGCAGCAAAGTACATCCGTTGAGAGTGAGCGTGTCTTCTCAAGAGGGGTGGACACCGTAACAAAGAAAAGAAATCGCATGGCCTCCGAAACACTTAAACAGTGTTTATGTTTAAATTCATGGGATATCAATATCATGAGTAATAAATTTTATATATAATTTTTATATCTATATATATTGTTAAATTAAATTTTTTGTACATTAATAAATATATATAATTTAAATAAAAATATTTAAACTATAAATGTATCAAATATTTTAGATGTTTTGAGCTTAGTATTCTTGTTTCAGGCTGTTGTTTTTTATGAATACTGTAGAATATTAGTGTTTTAATATTATTTGACTTTAAATTGATAACTAAAATAGTTTTTGATATTAAGATATAGAATTTTGAACACTTGAGAAAAATTACACATTAAAATTGATACTGGGATTAACTTTGAACCATGTTATAAAGCGCTTACTTTTTTTCAGGCGTTAATTATTCACTATTTTATTAAGAAGAATATTATGAGAGCAATTTTTCTCATAGATTATATAAAGGTATAGATATCTATTATCAATTTCAGGATTAGTCAATATTTTTCTTGCTAAATAGGCTTAAAACGAGAGATTTTAAATAATAAATGCATATACAAATTATTAAGATATATCTATAATTAATTATAGCATCTTAATCTTTTAAATTAATATTTAGAAATCTACACAATCTAGTTTCCAATATAATTTAAAATGTCATCGATAGAGATTGATAAAAAAGTTATGGGTGCAGATAATATATACAAAGTTATTTCTCTGTACAATGATATGTAATTTCCTTCATGAGATATCGCATAAAATTTATTCTCGAAAAAAAAACAAGTATAAATATCATTGTAAGATGTGCCAAGTAAATTTTATCCTAACTAGTAACTTCAAAGAGGAAATATTTTTATATCCTCAAACTTAAAAATATAATATGAATAAAACATAGATGAGTTTATGTGATAGTTGATTTTCTAACCCAGTCTATGACAATAACATATTTAAAAATTTTATTATAAATTAAAATTACAAGAAATATATTAGCATCTTATTTTATCACTTAAAGATTATTATGTACCTAACTACTCGTATAAATAATAACCATTTTTTGTCTCTTATCTGTGATACATCCTCACTGATATTTTAATTTAACATGTTTAGGATATATTTTTTTAGCTATTTCCTTTAAAAAAATTTGAAAAAGTTCAAAAATAGCGATTATGACAATTGTCACCTATCTATGATACATCCTCACTGAATTTTTAATTTAACATGTTTAGAATATATATTTTTAGCTATTTCCTAAAAAATTGAAAAAAGTTCAAAAATAGCGATTATGACAATTGTCACCTATCTATGATACATCCTCACTGAATTTTTAATTTAACATGTTAGAATATATATTTTTAGCTATTTCCTTTAAAAAAATTGAAAAAAGTTCAAAAATAAATATTATGACAATTGTCACCTATCTATGATACATCCTCACTGAATTTTTAATTTAACATGTTTAGAATATATATTTTTAGCTATTTCCTTTAAAAAAATTAAAAAAGGTTCAAAAATAACGAATATGACAATTGTCACCTATCTATGATACATCCTCACTGATTTAATTTAACATGTTTCGAATATATATTTTTAGCTATTTCCTTTAGAAAAATTTGAAAAAGTTCAAAAATAGCGATTATGACAATTGTCACCTATCTATGATACATCCTAACTGAATTTTAAATTTAACATGTTTAGAATATATATTTTTAGCTATTTCCTTTAAAAAAATTGAAAAAAGTTTAAAAATAACGATTATGACAATTGTCAACTATCTATGATACATCCTCACTGAATTTTTAATTTAACATGTTTAGAATATATATTTTTAGCCATTTCCTTTAAAAAAATTTGAAAAAGTTCAAAAATAGCGATTTTGACAATTGTCACCTATATATGATATATCCTCACTGAATTTTAAATTTAACATGTTTAGAATATATATTTTTAGCTATTTCCTTTAAAAAAATTGAAAAAAGTTCAAAAATAACGATTATGACAATTGTCACCTATCTATGATACATCCTCACTGAATTTTTAATTTAACATGTTCAGAATATATATTTTTAGCAATTTGCTCTAAAAAAACTCAAAAAAGTTCAAAAATGTCGATTATGACAATTGTCACTTATCTATGGTACATCTTCACTGAAATTTTGATATAACATGTCTACAATATATATTTTTATCTATTTCATATAAAAAAGTTCAAAAATAACCATCATAACAAATGGCTCTTTTCTATGGTACATCTTTACTTAAAAATTTTAAAAAATAACTATGATGGAATAGTTAAATCAGAGCGTTATAATTTAAAGAAGCTTTAAGAAACTTTCCCGCCTATAATATAAATATCTACTAAATGTTATTTGACTTTTGGTCGAAAAAAATGATCTAGATATTTGGTTAGGTGAAAAAAAGCAACCCTAACTTTAAGGCGTCTTTAAAAAAAACGATCCATATTTTGGGTCGGATTGAATAAAACGACCCGATGTTTGAGTCTGAGTCAGAAAAACGACCCAAACTTTGAGTTGGAGTCGAAAAATACGATCTAAACTTCAAGTTGTAGTCGAAAAATACGACCCAAACTTCAAGTTTGAGTCGAATAATACGACCCAAACTTCAAGTTGGAGTCGAAAAATACGACCCTAACTTCAAGTTTGAGTCTAAAATAGGACCCAAACTTCAAGTTTGAGTCTAAAATAGGACCCAAACTTCAAGTTTGAGTCGAAAAATACGACCCAAATTTCAAGTTTGAGTCGAAAAATACAACCCAAATTTTGAGTCGGAGTCGTAAAAAACGACCCATATTTTGGGTCGAGGTCGTTTTTTTCGGCTTGGATTTGGGTCGGAGTCGAAAAAAACGACCCATATTTTGGGTCGAAGTCGTTTTTTTCGGCTTGAACTCGGGTCGAAGTCGTAAAAAACGACCAAAACTTTGAGTTGGAGTCGAAAAAAACGACCCAAAATTTGGGTGAGCTCTGTTCGAGCCGACTCGGCTAAGCCGATTAACAACACTAAAGAAAGTACAACTATAAAAAGAATGCATTGCAAAATATTTAAGAACTCTCACAATTGCAAGAATATTAAAATAAATGAAAAGGTCAATGGCAATATTAGATCAAGTTTTATTGAGTATTGAGCAAATACAGATGGCTAAAGACTATCTAAAGAATTTATAGCATACATAAAACTCCATTATTTACAACATATTGGAGGCTATGACAATACCTGGTTGTAGATAATAATGATAGCAACATTGATGATCTTGAAATCTTACTTTTAGATAGAGAAAAAAAATCTAATTATCATCATATAGAAAAGAGAAACAAAAAACATCTTTAATAAAAAAGTTCTCAGAAGTTAAGAAAATAAATAAGGATACAAATATTTTAAAATTCTGGGATGAAAATTCCTTAATATACCCCGAATTATATATTTTATATAGAATCGTCATGGCTGTACCAGTGACAGTACAACATTTATGTATTATAAAGATAACTATCTATTTTAGGTCAGTGTAGAACGTGTGTTTTCTTCTTTAAAATATATATTGTCTAATTTACGTGGATCTCAAGATATTTTAGAAGATATTATGAATATGCGATTGAATAAAACATTTAAAATTCATTTAAAAATTTTTTATTTATAAATTATGAATGTGTATATATGAAGTATAATAATAAATGAATGAAAAAAGGTCTTATTTTGAAACATTTTTTTATGTTCTCTAAACCCTGAATACGAATTATATCAAAATGTTATAAAAATAGATACCGATACCTCTAAAATAGTATCTAAATACATCTCCTTTATATGAGATTGTATCTAGATACATCTCCTTTTTATGAGATTGTATCTAGATAGAGATGCGACATTTTTTATTGTAACTTCTCTGGTAATTTGTTAATGAATATTACAATTTTGAGTAAAAAATTAATATAAAAATTAAAGATTAACCTCTGGTATATCGATCTGCTCGAACAAACAAAATTCTATGGTAGGTATAGGATAAGAATTGTGAGGATTGTGAATGGGAGGTATTATTGTGGGTAAACTATGCTGCAATGCTTGAGAAAGTTCGTGTTCAAAGGTCACATATGGTGGAACATTTAATAGAAAAGTGGGATTGAAGGTATCATTATTATCGTCATCCTCGTTTAGCAAAGAAGAGTCATGGTCAAATGGTAGGGGGCGTTCTTTTTTAGATTTGGGTAGTTCTCTGGAAGTCGAGGAGTGATGAGTGGCACAAGATAAAAGTAGCTTTTTCAGAATTGACCATAAATTGTCCAAGCTCTTTATAAATAAAAATGATGAAGTAAATTCAAGGATTACTTTTCTGCCTATATGCATTTTAATCTATATGAAACAGGAACTAGCAGGCATGGATTCAAAACCGATCCTTATGACTGGTATTTTTTATCGAACCTTAACCTTTAAATAATTTTCTATCCAAACTTGAACTGCCCACTAAAAATTCTAAAGAACTCATGATTTTTTATTATAAAATAATGTGAAGCTAGGTGTATAATACAGCAAAAATTAATGCCAGTATCCATGGTAGTCCAAACAGTATTGGGTAACCACAATTGGTAATGTTTAGTTTATATTCCCAAGTTGCCCCTTACCATAGTTTCACCAAGAACGTCCTTGTTTAATATCATAAATTAACAATAGTTTTGGTCTGCAAAATTTTCATATAATATTGTATTCCAATTAGAGGTCAGCAATGGGTGAGTTTTTAGCCAAACTTCCCTCTTGTTAGTTGGGAATTTTCTTAACCTACCCACTTATTTTATCGCAATTTATCTATAAATTATGTTTAACCTGTCAGCCCACCTAATGTTTAAAAATTATTTTAAAGGCTGGTGGCTCTTTATTTATTTGTTTTGATGCATTTTTAATTAAACGTATATAATATGCAATATTATGAAATAAAAATATTATTTTTAATAAATTGAAGTCTGTTCTGCTCATTTCACCTGAAAAATATTAAAAATTCACCTGCCCACACCCATCCATTATTTAAACCCACCCAGTGTTGAAAATATTTTAGAAACCCTAACCACGCCCATCCCAAGTATGGGTTGGTGTGGGCAATGCAGACCTCTAATTCCAATTACCCATACATGTGCACCCATATCATAATCAAATTTAATAGGTACTCCTGATACAAAACATTGAAATGAGATATGAATTCTTCCACAATGTAAACAGCCATTGTTCCTATATGTATTATTATCAACATTGTTATTATTATTGTAATAATTAAATCTCCCTTTTCTTTTATAATGTGGGTACTTTTGATTAAAAGGATTTCCTTGATGATTATTCTCCAATTGCTCTTTATGTTTATTACCCTTTTTTTACCTTCATATTTGTAATATTGTCATCAGTTTCTTCCATTTTCAAATATAAAACTTGTTGAAACTTACCCTTTCTCTCAGCTCATGATTCCATGTGGGAATTTGGTGTATATCTTTCTCAATGTTGTCATTTATATTCCTGCAAACAACTGATTTTCTAATCTCCAATCAAGGTATGATTCAAACTTATATTCTTGTGGCACTTTTTTTTAAGACACCTTGAAAATTCTGTTTCACAATTCCCCAATTTCTATGGGTCTAGCTTCCCTACCTATATCATCATACTTTAGTTCTTTCAAAATTCCTGGATATATAAGACTTCATCTCTGGCAAATTACCAATCCTCATGTAGGCAAATAATACAATTTTATTGGTGTTTTTATCTACCAATATTCCTCTTATCTCCAAAAAATCCTCCATATATTCAATATATCCTTAAAAATTGTTTTATTGACCAAAATTATCAAATTTTACTTGGATAATTATTGCTTCAAAATTCTTTTTTTACTTGAATACCATTCATTTTACTTAAAATATTAATTTATTTCTTATTCATTAAATCTTTGATTCATAACTTTTGTCAATTACAGTAGTTGGTTTTTTTTCTTTATTCATAGTAATTATATACTCATTCATCACTATTAAAATAAATAAATATACTTTTTTTATTGCATATCACAAACATAATCATAATATATATAATAATCAGATAATTATTGAATAATAATCTTATATAGCATTAATCACAGTTCAAGGTTTTGGTTCACAGCCCTATGCTACCATTTTTATTATACCAAAACATTCTTTGTGTAATATTATTTATTTTTGCACAAAAAAATTGAGTAAAAATTGAATTTCGAAATTAACTAGATTTAGAATTCAATATGATAATATTAAACTTCTGGTTGTTGGGGTAAAGAATTTGAAGGAGACCAAACTTGCAACAAAGGAACATAAGTTTTTTTTCTTTTACTTTTTAATATAACAAGTAAATATAATTTATTAATAAAAATATTTTAAAGATTGAAAATCAATTATTTTTCAATTATTGGTAAAAAAAATTACTAAGAAATCTAAACATTATGCAAAATTGTTTTGAAACCTCATGTATGATTCAATTTTTGCAAACAATTTTTTCATTTCACTTTCTTTTTTGTGCTTAAATTCTTTTCCAATCTATGATATAGCATCCTTTATTGTTATAAATATAAATATAGTCAACTAACCAATGGTAGAGAAGCTAATATTGTATATACATACCAGTCAGCTCTTACCTAATAAACTTATTCAATCATATGGAATTATTATGTAAAACCTGAGGATTTCCCTCTTCAGAAATAACATCCAAAAAATTTTCAAATAGATTTAAAATTGAATTTAATATCAAAACATTTGCATTTACTAAATCTGCCAGGAAACAGACCTAAATATATTTATAACATGTAAAAATTAAATGTTAGGATAAACTATATTCAATGATGAATCAAAATCACAATTTCTCAAATTTTCTTTTAGCTTTTTAACAAGTGCTTCCACAATCTAACAAAAGTTAATATTGAAGTTTTTAACAAAATAATATTACTTCTCCTCCAGCATCACTATTTTTGGCATTCAATAAACCAACTAAAGTTGAATAAATACATAATTTTTCAGGACTCTTAACAACACTAAAATCAATATTATAATTTGGAAAAATAATATATTACCAGTGGCATAATATATTGATTATTTTTGTTTTAAAAGATGAAAAATCAGCATCTAAAACACGAGCTAATCCTTCAATTTTACTTTCCAGGGACGATGATGTCTACAAAATATATATATAATTAATTATCGTCAAGTGTAAACTTTTTCTCCAACCCTTGTAATAAGAGATTCAAGCCTTTTTTCAATTTCAGCAACATCTGATGGTCTCATTTTCTTTTTGTTATAATCTTTTATACTTTATATAAGGCATTAACCCAAAATATTATAATAAACCTTTTTCATCGCTTTCAGAATTATCGTGTTTTCTTGTTCTAAAAGTTGACATGTTTTATAAGATAATATGACACGTACTATAAAATGGCTTATTAGCACCTGCCAAAATTGTTAAAGACTTAGGGTTAGGAATAGGGTTAGGGATATGGTTAGGGATAGGGATAGGGATAGGGATAGGGATAGGGTTAGGGATAGGGTTAGAGCAGTGACCCCTACACTTTTTGAGGGATAGAAGCAGAATACCCCCCTAAAGTACCCCCCCCCCATTGTAAATTATTTTTTGACACCAATAAATTTCAAAAATAATTTTTATTGCATCAATATTTATTATAATATAAATATAATGTAAAAAATATATGCTTTAAAAATATTATTTTTAAATTAATAATTTAGATAAATTAGGGGAAGAGAAAGCAAAAGAATTTATAATTTCATCAATATTTAATTGTTTAAATAAATTATTTTCCATTGATAAAATGGTTAAATTATTAAGAAATGGATCTTTCATGACACTACGAAGTCTTGTTTTAATTTTACTCATGACCCTTTCGGCAGTACATGATGTAGTAGGAATAGTTAATAAATATTTATATAAAATTGTTAAATTTGGGAAAGCAGAAAAATTTATAAGCAGACGATAAGGTAAAATAAATGAATAGTTTCTCCAGTCTGAATCATTCATCTCAGAATTATTATCATCATCAGAAGAAGCTAAATAATGTATTAGTAAAAATATCTTAATTAAATAAATTTACAATTCTCAGAATCTGACAAATCTTCTTTAACCTCTAGGTCACGAGTAATAATTACGTCCCCCGTTTTAGCCATTTTATAAATATTTCTAAACATCAACATTTCCTCAAAAACTTGACTTGTATTTAATTGATAAAATTCACAGATATCCTTGATATCATCTTTAACAATTGCCTTTTCCGCCATTCCCTTTGGGGTAAAAAATGATGTTTGACTCAAAAATTTTATCGATTCATCGTTAAATCTTTCACTAAACTGCATATCAAGTGCAGCATAAAACACACTGATTTTAAAGCTAAAATAAAATATTATATTTAATGATGAAAGTATATATATACCTCTCCTTTTTGGATTGTAATGTTTGAAGTCTTAAAATTTCAAAATCAAAAGGTAAATTTCTCTTCTTTATAAAATCTTGGGCCTTTGAAAAGACATCCAAAAATTCAGTGTTATTATCAATTTTAGGATTGTAAAATAATAAAAGATAATAATTTAAATTATACTTCTCATATTAATCAGGCAATCTTTTGCCAATTGAATTTGATTTATTGCAAACCCTATATCCTTCGAAATGGTTTGCAATTTTGTACAAGCCAAGCTTGTTATCAACAATATTTTATCCAAAACACATAGTGATAAAATAAAATAAAATTTTTCTATTCTATAGACTATAGCACTAGCCATAGTGGAAGTGGCAGGATCTTCAGAATCCTTTAAATTTGCCAAAGCTGCCCTCAAAGCATCATAAAGTTGAAAAAAATTTACAATCGCCTTATATGATGTTAGCCAGCGTCTATAAATATAAAATAAACATTATATATCAAAACAATTAAGATAATATTACCGAGTGGTATTCTTGATGCGTAAAAATCTATGTGATTTTGTCAGTAAATCACTCTGACATGTTTTGAGCACTTCATATCTTTTAACATCATTAAAATATACGTAAATTTAGTCTAATATTCCCAAGACATTTCGCAGCTCTTTTACTGATTGGCATAATTGAACAACTATTAAATTTAATCGATGACAATAGCACCAAATAAAAGCTGCCTTTGGCTCCTCCGCTCTAATCAAAGCCTGCACTCCATTAATTCTTCCACTCATGTTTGAGGTGCCATCATAGCTTTGCCCACTAGGAATTCGAGGGGTAGATATATGGAGCCAAGCTTGGATATTATATTCTTTTTAATATCGAGGCCCGTTGTATTTCCCGTACAATAAATGTCTAATCAGCCTTTCAACGGGCTTAGGTGTCTCACTATTTCCAATATATCTCACTATCAAAGCTATTGCTTCTGATTTCGATACATCATATGTGCCATCAACTATAATTGAATAGCACCTGTTGAATTCAGTCTCCTTTTGAATTTTTTTTATAACCATATTTTTCATGGTTTCAATAAGAATATTTATGTTATTATATAATAACAGATTTGAATATAATTTAGATTTTAATCCCTTAATTTTTTTCTCACTTCTTCTTTCTTCATTATCTTGTATATACATTTTAAGAACAGGCTAGAATCTGCAATAAGTTTAATAAGGCTCATCATATTGCCATCTTAATTTTTAATCAAGCATTTATATTTTTTTTGGTTAATATTTTTGGGCATATTTTGACAATGATCTAGAAATTATAAATGATTATATATAAGATTAAATATTTAAATTTTTACTATTCCCTTTGATAAAATTTTAATTTTGCGCCAAATCTTGAAAGTGGAAAAATAATTTTATGATAAGAAATATCGGATAACAAACTAATTTGCTAAACATCGACCATAAAAATTTTTAAAAAAATAAATAAAAAATTTAAAAAAAAAGTACCCCCATAGAAATTTATAGAAGCAGTTGCTTCGGACCCCCCCCCCCGTTGTAGGGGTCACTGGGTTAGAGTTATACTAGTAGGTATCAATCAAGTCGTACTTTATATGTCTAGAAATAACAAAGGCTGTGAACTAGATATCTGCAATGGGCTGGTTTTTTATCCCACCCGCCCGATAATTTAAAATATTTAATCCGCTCGCCCACCTGTAGCTATTTTCTAAAAAAAGGCTCGCCCGGTCGCCCACCTCTTAGTCTCAATAATTTATATCCACACCCTACCATATAAAATATTATTTGATCTTTTTTTGTAAAATCTAATTATCCTCGATATATAAATAAGCCCTAACTCAGTGATACGGCGAAGGCCGGGTTTTTTTTTAAAAAATGATTTAGGTAGGAATTAAATCCTCCATGAACCCACGGTGCGGTATGCCATTTCATTTTTGTTAGATGTTTTGTGTGTCTTTAACTTAGGACTAAACTCCTCCTAATTTAGTGGTGCGGCTAAGGCCGTTCGTATTTGACATTTTAATTTAATAAGGACGTCGCCCTGAATCAGCGGTACGGCGAAGGCCGTTTTTTTACATGATTAGATAGGAATTAAATCCGCTCTAATTCAGAAATGCAGCGGATGCCGTTCTTTTTTTCGTTTGTTTAATAAAGATTATTTAGGCCTTACATCCGCCTGATCCAGCGGTGCAGCGAGAGCAGTAATTAAGCGGGGAGGAGTGTTGTGATTTATTACAATATCTTGTTATGGAATTTTCTTCACTTAAAAAACTTTTCTAATTCTACTACTTTCAAAGCCTTTTAATTATTTGTCATTTTGTCCCCTTTGTCCATTAATATTCTTTACTTTGTTTTTCTCAAATTGGTAAATTATAAATTTAGTTTCAACTATTTTAGATTTCAAACACGTTCTTTATAGAAACCTTTTAGCATTTCTAAATCCCCGAGTTGCTGAAATTTCCAATATTTTTCTACCTAATCTTGATAGCTTTAGTCAGCATCCACAATATCGGGGAGTGGGCAGTTTGCATTCAATTATTTTTAAGGGGGTAGGGTATGGGCATTTAAGATATATAGGCTAGAGGTTGAATTAATTTTTTGAGGGTAATTTGTTAAATTTTTAGATGAAATAAGTCAAAATAATAATATTGCTATGTTGAATCTATTATTAAAGATAAGCGAAAATAAAACTGGCTAGTTAACAAGGTCTTTTTCGTTACTAGACCTATTGGTAACCAAGAAAATTCTATGATTTAACAAAATAATGTCAGTGACATAAATACTATATTATATCAAATAATAGACCCGAAGATTTATTTCTATGAATTCATTATTTTTTACTCCTGCTCTTAATATTTTAGGTTATATCTTATTTAGGTATTTTGCCAATATCTAATGCAATTTTTTCTTTATTTTAAGGGTGGCAATCTCTTAACAAATCCTTATGATTTACCAGTTTTTATCTACTCATAAGGATCCTATTACAAGTTTGTATTTTTACATTATATATAACTATATGTAATATCAAACGACAATCAAATAATGTTATAATTCGTTAATAATCGGCCACCAAACATTCTCTTGGGCAAATAATTTTCAAATTAATACCAATGTTTACAAATATATATTTATAATAGTAAACAATGGTATTAATTTGATAGATAGAAATTTAATTACCAAATTAAATTTAATAATAATAAATAAATATAATACAGTTAATGAGGTTTGGTGGAATAATATTGAAAAAAATTTAATCATTATTTACTAAAAAATTAGGTTTACTGAAAGAGTTTAAAGCGAGTTTATCACTAAAACCCAACCCCAACATTCAATGTCTGAAAAGTAGACCAATACCATTTGCGTGGAAAACAAAGCTAGAAACGGAATTACAACGACTGGAATCCATGGGAGTTTTAGGAAAACTAAAACACTGGAATATCGTTTAACTGATCGTGCCTTTACTAAAAAAAGATAGATCCTTACGAATTTGCGGTGATTTCCGACAGACATTAATTCTAATATTTTTATAAATAAATATCCTATGAATTAATGAATTATTATTCACATTAAGGATGGATCAAAATATACGGTATTAGATTAATCAGAAGTGTATATTAAAATAGCACTAAATGAGGAGGCAAAAAAGTTGTTAGAGATCAACACGCCAAGCGGAATGTATTGCTTCACACGACTTCCGTTTGGGGCAGCCCACCAGCCATTTATCATCAAGCAATGGATTCGTTATTAAAAAGACTACCTGATGTAGCAGTATATTTGGGCGATTAATAATTAATGAGGAATCAATTGAGATTCATAAAAAAAATTTGATAAATGTATTAAAGACTTTATAAATAAACGGTATGAAATTAAATAAAATATATGTAATTTTTTTAAAGAAAAGATTAAATTCTTAGGTCATGTAATTAACAAAGAGGGAATCACAACAACAAATAAGAATGCTAGCAATTTTAGACACACCGGTACCTAAAAACGTTAAAGATTTACAT